TTAATTATAGTAATATCCAGTAGATGGTAAAAAATTCTCAAATACCATTTTCTAGTCTTCATATGGTTGCGCCCTTATCGCCCTAAGAAACTGTCCATAAGATCGACACCACCCATGTGTGAATTATACTCTCTTATAACTCTTGGACATGGAATAGGCACTCGTCTTTTTTCTTTTTGTCGTATCTCTCAATAGTTTCTACTGGCTCAGCTCCAACATATGTGGACAACAGTATGACCTGTTTATTATCTTTCCAGCTCACAGCAGTGACTGGGGTTCCCTCATAGGTAGACACATTCTCCACGTAATGTCCCCTCGGTATGTCGTTTTTCATAATTTCCGTTTTATGTGGTAGTTTACAATTTTTGCCCGGTCTATTTCGTTGGACAGTGCCGAGGCAGTAAATACCTTGCTGAGCGAAATAATGCATAAGAAGTAAGTTGGTATAAAAATTATCGAAGTAGATAATATGATTGCGATTTCTCGGCACTCCTCGTGTAAGTCTCACCACAGTATCAGAAACTGCACCAAGTTCAGGCTCAGTTGGAAGACGATCATGGATTATTTTTCCTGAATATATTTCAAACTGATAAGCAAATCCTTGTAAGCAACATAAAACAAATAATTTGAAGCCCCATTTATGAGGTTTGTTCGGCAAATATTGTTTCAAAAAGTGGCCCATCTTAGTAGCACACATCTGTTCATCTAGTGATAATCTTTGTTCGAAAGGCAAAGAACCAAATTTTTCATTTAGGTGATCGATAACGGGTCTTAATTTATGCAATCTATCGTGGTTGGGGTGGCCTGTGGGCAAATGCTTATCATTATCATTAAAATGCAGGAAACTCCTTATCTTCTCAAATCTGTTTAGTGGCATTGTTTCTGCTATAGGGGTGAAAGAATGTTTCGTATTCCATTATGAACGTATACTTGGGTATCGAAAGACAGACATATATGTGAGAATCCCAAAATATTGTCGCAATTCGGTAATAGTAATAATCTCTGGCCGAGATGGATTTTTTTGAACACTATATTGATTGCTTTCTTGTACTATACTTTCCAAAAATTCTGTGTTAAAAAAGTAGGAGAAAAACTGGAATGGTGTTTCTAAATTAGCAATGTCAGATGAAAAAGGATTATTGTCTTCAAATTTAATTTTATTCTCGTCAAATTGAAATTTTTGGGTTTTCCATATAATTTGTCGGACGTTACGACTTGTAGCAGTCGTAGCTGGAGTACTTGCAGAAGGAGTTGGGCCGGGTCCATCATCGTATACTTTAGGGGGATCTGAGCTATCCTCATTACCTGTATCCTCATGTATTGACGAACCTTCCTCTAATACATGTTGGAGCTGTTCTCTCGTAGGATAGAAGTCCATCAAATCATCTCCTTCCGACTCATAATCATCGTCGGATATATCCCCCGCTTCCAACCTCCGAAGTATATCTTCTATCCCATTGTCTTTGCAGTTTTTAGGCGACATCGCTGTAAAAAACATATAAAAACATGCAACCACCACCAAATTGCCGCACAAAACAATATAAGAATATTTATGCCGTTAGTGCATAATGTATCATTTTTGAAACGATACATTTTTAGGGAAAAAACATGTTGAATCAAAGATATTAGTAAAAAGTAAACACATAAACAGAAAATATGATTACTTACCGATACAATATATTTTATTTGCAGAGAAAACTTCAATTTAAATATTTTTTATCACTATTGATATTTCTGACAAATTTGCCGGTCGCGCCAACGTTTGTACGTAGTTCGAAAATGACGTTTCAATTTCGCGCGTTATGAAAACAACTGCCGTTTTTAAATATTCATAAGAACGTATGGGTCTAAGGAATCTACTCCGATACAGCCAAATCAAAATTTATGAATATGTACGTTTATAGACGACCTTAAAGTTGACGTTTCATTTTTGATACGCTATGCATTTAAGGGCTAAGTAGAATATTATGGGACACAAAATCGAACGCTCTTGTCATGTCAAAGAATATAGCTGTGGAATTGTCTTTTCGATTTAGATTTTCTAAAACATTATTCACCAGTTTAAATGCTGTTAGTGTTGTGGATTTTCCTTTTTGGAAACCATTCTGTTCAGCGTATAAAATATTATGTTTTTCTATGAAATTTGTCATTCTACTGTGAATGATTTTTTCAAACATCCATTCCATTCCATCCATTCAAATAGGCATTCATTTAAAGCAGATATTCTTAGATAAAGTTATCACTGGATTATTAGCACTCACTTAACATTTTCTCACATATGTATATGAAACTATTAATTAATTATAATTTTAATAACAAAAACAATAATCATCTGATGTTGACACCGGCACACTAGCGCCACAAGCATAATATTAATAAAAAAGTTATAATAGTTTACTTAAAGTAACAAATTAAGATATGAACGATAAAAGTTAATATAGTGTAATTAGGTGGCGTTAGCGTAAAGACGCTTTCTGTCTTTGTTATTATATATCACACATAATCAACATATATTCCTATTCCTGTCTGTATATATATATTGAACCCATAAGAACTACGAAATTTAATCTTTTATTAACATCCGAAATAATTTCTTTTACTCACTATTTCAAACGCTGACGTTAAAAATTACCTTTAGATGCTGGTCTCGATTTTCAGTCGCTTTCTGTAACCTCTTCTCCATCCGCAGCCTCTTTTCTTCGATCAGCTGATTTTTCGCGACCTGGTAGGTAGTAGGTACAAAAAATTAGAATCTGTCGTTATTCAGAAAAATAAGAGGTACTTTTTAACAGGCTGAAAATAGCACGTCAAATAATTATTATATTTTATAACAGATATTATTGACTTACTGTCAGTTTCACAAACGCCCATTAAGGTTTAATGACACCTTTAAACTCTAATGAATGTCAAATTTGTATCGGTAATGTCGCTCTAAACTAATCACAATTTTAATGGATGTTTGTACAACTGGCTGTTACTAAAAAAGTGATATTTTCTATTTAAATCATTGTTAAATCAATCAGCCATTAAGAGTTTATTGATTTACCTTGGTTAATTATTTTTAAAGTAACAAGTTTAAAAATACTTCGAAAGAATACATAGTCATCAATAATTACCTTGACCTCCTCTACCCTGGCCAGCAATTGGTGAATCTTCTTTGCCCTCTCTGTTTGATATTCTAGTCTTTGTCGTTCGGCTCTAGCTTGCTTCGCTTGCAATCTCCTCAGAGCATCTTGCAAGCTACCTCGCCGTTTTATACCCTGAGACAACTTCGCGTGCAACTGTTGGGCGCGACCTACAATAACACTATTAGAAAATGCGCTGAACGAATGATAGTAAACTAAAACAACCGTTTTAGTAAAAAAAAACTTAGAACAGGGGGAAAGGGTTAGAACAGGTTTTGTTGCATTAAAACTAATTTAAATATTTAAATTAATTTATCTTCATAGTGGCAACAGAAACACATCATCTGTGAAAATTTCAACTATCTAGCTAGATCACGGTTCATAAGAAACAACCTGGTGACAGACGGGCGGACAGGAGTCTCAGTAATAGGGTCTCGTTTTTACAATTTAAATACGGAACCCTAAAAATTATTCGCATTTTTTAACCACTAGAGTCTAAAGAGTATTTAAAATTAACGTGTGATGACTTTTCTATTAAAAAAAATAATAGGTCTAAGTGATTACATACAGGAATATTTCTTTTCCAGTGCAAAAATTTTTTTTGGTGGTTCAGTATCAGTAATAGAACACTTTTCCATAATTAGTTAAGAATATTTTTTTAAATATTTTTATCCCTATCGAAACGGTAGAATATGGACACATTTTTTAAAATAAAACTTCAATGAAAACGTCTTCTCTTGCGTATGCCACCGTGCAACCCCGCCGCGCCCGGTAGCCCCCCGCCACAGCCCCCACCGCCCCGCCGGGACCGAGCGACGCGCGCGACAGTGAGACTCATACGCACGCGCCGATGTGACGTGTCCTTGCGTTCCCGCGCACGCGACGCGCCCGCCGTCGTGAGTTTTACGAGATGGTACGAGTATCTTCTGAGTGGTGAGAACCTACATTAGCGCAATTCGGAGAAAGTATGCGACGAAGAGCATACCTCGTATTTTGGCCTTTGGAATCCGTAACCCCGCGGTCCCTAATGCTTCGAACCATTTTAACAGACGAAGTCCCAGAGTCAATACCCACGATACGGCATATCTCTTTGGTGTGAGCCAGCCTGCGGTATTGAAGCTGCTAAAAACAGCCGGACTCCATCCGTACCACTTTCAGCCGGTTCAGCAGTTCCATGACCTAGACCCAGTACTACGTCGAGCCTTATGTGAGTGGCTTCTACATCACCGCGATGCAAACATCTTGTAGACGGATGAGGCATTGTTCACAAGTGAGGGACTGTTTCTTATGGGAAGAAGTCAAACGCCGAGATGTAGAGGAGGCACAAAGTCTAGAAGACTTAACAATAAAAAATAATAACGCTTTCAGTGAAGTGAAAAGTGACACTAGTGTTTTAAACAAATTAAATGACAATTTAATGAAATGTGCACGTTTATGTCTGGACAGACGTGGACTTCATTTTGAACAAATATTAAAATACATGGTAAGTAATTAGTTAGGTATTTGTTTTGATTCAACATTATTGTAAATACGTAGTTGATTCTAATTTTTTTAAATACGCCTTAACGCAGAAGTACCTATGTAACTTCAACATAACGTTAATATTTTTTTCTTGGTAACGAATTTGTTTCTCTTTTATTTTTTTGCATTTTGATGGCCTTAACCATAAAAGTATGAAGGGAAAATTGGAATTACTCTTAGAAATCACCTCAGATCATGGCATAAAATCTAGTTCGAATCTAACAAAATGAGCGTTCAGTGACCCGTGTAGATAGGTACCTACGAGTACATGCCTACGGCGTCGAGCGAGCGCTCAGCTGACGCACGGCGCGCGGTGTCCATAAATTAAGTTTTAAAATCTCGATCTTTGATAAGCAATAACTTTATTTTTTAGTATTAGAACATATCAAAATAAAAAATACGTGTTTATTTAAATTACTTAAAGATTGTTTTCACAAAATCTTCGCAGTGGTTTTAAATTATTCCTGTATATTTTAATAACTAAATATAATGGCGTGTGTACTTATAAAATAACTTGTCCTCATTCACTTACTTGTTATTTCGTTATTTAAGTCAGCTCTTTGGTCATTAACTTATTTTGTGGAGTAGACAATAAGGAAGCATATTTAGAAATTCGACCCTTAAGGCGGTTTTCAAGCCCCTTTTTCACCCAGACAAGGATGGAAAGCAATCTCTCTATATTTATACTCACCCGGATCTCTAGCGACGAGTGCTTCGAGTGCGCCAAGTGTATCGACTCTCTCTGCCCAGGACATGCCTGCGAGTGCCGTTTCGTACCGGTCTTCCAAACTACCGACTGGTTCCTCTATCACTGTCGGTTCTTCACATAACATCTCCGCATCTGTCTATATCGACATCAGAGCACAAACGTTAAAAAAATAATAATAAATAATATTCAACATCTACTAGATAAACTAACGTAATATTGAAAAATATCGTTGTCGTTCTACATACTATTCAACCCTACACTGAACATGAATCTTAATTTTCCTTGCAACGAAATCCTACAATGGATACAACTCACAAATTTGCTTTAGTTGAATATCTTGTCAATAAATAACTGATTGACTTACCTCAGTATCGTCTGTTTCAGTGTCCAAATCTACATCTGACACCTGCTGCAATTCCATGATTTGTCTGTTTAATAAGTCTTCTTCCTCACATAACTTTCTTTGATCAACTTCAGACTGGAAATCGAGGGCCCAACCCAACTTCTTTTCGTTTTCTTCTATTTGAGAGGTCATTTCCGCTATTTCAGACCGCTCTGAAGGATCAGCCGACTCCAAAATCTCATCGTGATTTAAAATTATTTGATCGTCGTCATCTAAATACTTAAAGGTAGATTTGAACTCTGCTTTCCATTTATCGAAATCAAAAGCGTCCTCGGTACTTTCTTGGGATCTAGCTAAACCGGTGGTTAGGCTTTCTAAAGAAGAATGAAGTCTATTTTTAGTCAAATCAGAAGACTCTTCGTTCGTAAGCATCTCATCTTTCTGTTTTTCAGACTTTTTCAACGCTTTACTACGTGAAGACCTAGTTTTAAGGCCGGTTACGTCCGATTTCTGACGAATCATGGAAGGATCTATAATTTTTGATTTAAGAATAACACTATCTGAAACTTTACCAATTTTTTCCGTTTTTAACACTTTTGCTAGTTCAGTGGGTTTATTGCAATTATCGGTTTTTACTACTTCTGTACATGTATTAGGCATATCAGTTTTCATAACAATAGCTGCGACTTGTGGTTGCTCGGATTTAGCTCTATCTGATTTGGCATGTCTGGGAGAATCTATGATTGGCTTTAACTCTTGTTTAGGAGATTCTATCATATTTAATGTTGGGAGACTTGTCGTGACCGAAGGTTGGTGGAATCTTTGTGCCCAATGCGATTTAGATTGTTTCTTTGACTCCCGACTTAAACGTCTAGACTTCACAGTTAACCAGCCTTCATTGTCATTTTTATTATTATCTACGTTAAGTACTTCTATAGAATTGGCAACATCTTGTATCATCTGTAAATCATCTGGCACTAATGTCTTCAAACTTTCGCTTGATTCAATTCGAGACATATCGATTTGCGTAACTATTGTATCTGTACTACTATATTCTTCATAGTCTTTAATCTTCTCCAAAGCAGGGTTGAGCTTCTCTTTGCTACTAACTTTGTCATTTGTTTTTAATGTTGTAGGTCTTGGTGGACGTTTCTTAATATCAATTTTTATTTGACTAGATTTTCCATCTCCAGCTGCCATTTGCATGGTTTTATTTACTGTCTTCCTCATAGGAACATTTCTATTTTGTGTTGTGGATGAATCAAATAGACTTGTCCTGCCTGTTGTAAGGTTAAATGGATAACTGCATTTGCTAGCTAGATTTTTTTTTGCAAACTGTCTTTGTGGTTTCGTAGCACATGAAGGTCGTATTTCAACAACAGTTTTACTTCGAACTAAAGTAGATTTTGTTGGTGTTCTTACTTCCATTTTCGCTGCAGTGACTGGTTTTGGTTTGGCAGCTGCTTGAGAGTAAGCAGGTCTTATACTAGGTTTCGTCTCAGAATTAGCTTTGACGACACTACCATCTTTCTTAGTCTCGATATCTTTTTTAGAATCCTCTTTATTACTCACAGTTTCTAATTGTTCCACATTCTTCTTTGATGAAGTATTTGTGTTTGCTATATCCTGTTCTTGTGAATCTTGATCTGTCTTGGTTTCTGTTGGTTCGTGTACAAATTTACTTTCTAATAGTACAATTTTGTTAGCTGAATTTTCATTTAAATTAGTCTCTGCTTTATTCGCTTCAGGACTTTCGTTGGAAATATCAGCGAAGTTATCCTCAGATTTAGTGGGAGATTCAGAAGTATTACTTTCTTCATCGATAGGCTCTACAGACTTCTCCTGAATATCGTCATTTTTATTTTCTTGGAATTCAAAGTGGTGTGCTTTTTTTATTTCAATAACGTTTTCATATTCCCTATCCTGATTAAGCATATTTTCATTCTTAATTTCAGATTCAGATAGCTGTTTATTTAAAAAAATTAATTCCATTGCATCTAGTTTTGTTTTTATATCCTGAGCTCTACTATTATTATTGCTATATGTGTCAGACTCAATGGAATTCTTAACTGTGCTTGCAGCATTTTGTTTTATATTTTTGATAACAACTTGTTTAGGTCTAGCTTGAGAGGATTCTTTAGCTTTGCCTATTTCTATAACAAGTGTAGCTTTAGCTTCTTCCTTCATATTATTTCCAGGCTCATGATTTTCAATAACTTCTTCAGAAAGTTCTTTGATTTCTTTCTCTGTTATATCTGATAGCCTAGTGCTTTCATTTGCAGATTTGGGCTCTGGTTTAGTAGTTACTTTAGCAGCTGTAATTTTACTAGTAAAGAACTCAATGCTGGCTTTTGGACTAGTATTTGAATAGCTTGCAGATATTCTTGGACTTATTTTACCACTTCCTGGGCTAGCTTTGCCTGTTAAGTTGGGGCTATTTTTGCCACTTGGAGTATTGTGTCCAGAAAGACAAGGACTATTTTTCCCTGAGACCGAAGGAGAACTTTTTACAGAGTGCGCGCGCCTAGATTCAGGTCGCACGAAATCAGTCTTTCTGATCTCCCAAGCTAAGCTCTGTGGCCGTTGCGGAGGTGGTGTATTGTCATATTCCCACTTAAGTCTAAACCATTCTCCCAAAGCTTTGAAGTCGCGGGTATAATTCTCTAAGACTAGTATAACTTCTTGGCACTCATTTAAATTCTCATGGGCTTCCACAGTATTATAGATTTCACCAATCTGAAAAAGATATGAGATATTAAATATATTCTACATGCAAATAAATATCTTTCTTTATTATAAATTTATGTACACAGTGGTAGCACTAAGGTCTTGAACTGTTAAAAATTATCTCAGTCTCTTCATTACGAAAAACCTGTAACATATTATATTTTTCCACAACAATAAATATATTTTTAAGAACAATTCAACTATAATATTTTTCACTTTTGAAAACTGTCATTGCGCATGCATAATGTCACTTATTATGATGGGTTGACTAACAAAGTGACAAAATTTCTGAACATAAGCCTTTTGAACAAATGTACTGAAGGTTATCATTATAAAATGCACAGCAAATATTAAAAATATATTTATTATTACTAAATACAGTCTCTTCCTCTAGGTACCATTTATTAAACTTACAGCCCTTTGTAGATCACCAAAAAGTAGCGCCCAATATCTGGCTCGTAGTTCAGAACGCTTATCGCGGCCGGCGGAGGCTGAGCGCCGAGCAGTGCGGGGCGGAGCACGACGAATAACCGGACCGCCAAGGCACCGCGGCGGCTTGCGAGACACTCTCGCTGTTAAACAATATGTCATAATAATCTTATAACTATAAATCTGAACTCTTCCTTTATAATTCCATATATCTCAGTATAAATCTAATACAGGTCTTTTGCAAGTTACCATGTGTTTGCTTTCCAGTGTTAATATGTACCTTATTGGCATAACAGCATTCCTTTATTTGATTATCCACAATTGTCATTTTTTTTATAACATTTATTTACTAACTTTTTGATCATGACTATACAATGTTTTGATGTTTTGTTGTATGTACATATATAGTTAGACTATATAATATACAGTTAGAACTTTATACAAACATAATTTTGTTACTTAGATGTAAATTCAATCAACTATTTAAATCTATCAACTGAAGCATGAAAATTGGTGAATTTATTTTATTTCAATAATAGCTGATGGCAGTGGTTTTATTTGATGATTGTACTATTTTAGAATAACAGATATTTACATGGGGATTTAAAATAAAACAAAAACCTAGCTCTAAGTGTACTATTTATTAATTATAATCAATTACATAGATATTTCACTATTACTTAAATTATATTCAAATCTTCTTCAATAAAATGTTAACATGAACCCACATAAATACTTTAGAATAGTGAATTAGTAACCTATTGTTCATTTATAATTTGTAAGTTCTGAAATAATTTTCAATAAAAAGAACTGGCTTACAATGACTGAGGCTTATGCACTGAAGGCACATATTATAAAGCATCAATGAGTCGTTTTTCAGTATTCATTTACCACATTAATAAAAACAAATCAGAAATTAGTTGCTATATAACAAAAGGGCAATTTAACTACTGTTTTTCTAAAAAGCACAAAAATAATTCATGTATGTAAAATTTATTTTTTGTGCAACTAAATTGAATCAAAAACAGATATCATGCGTTTACCTATTGTATTGAACGTGCCATGAGAAAGTTTAAAACAGAGAGGAAATATTTAAATAGTGTTCATATAGAACGCCTACGCCTTTTATTGTACGGTGAGCTATCCCATTTTATGTAAACATGCTTTTGTATTTTACCTGGACTATCAACGGCAACATGGAAGGCAACAAGATTTCTTGCCTCTCTGCCTTCCTCCTGCACAAGTTGTCTTACTTCCTCCATCTCAAATCAACGAAATTATATCTTATTCAAAGAAAACAAAAGAAAATATGAACTCAACACATCACGAAGTATAGGTTTATCTATTGTGTTTCTCCATATCTTGAATAATCATAATATAAATATAGATCTATGAAAAGTAAAAAGAAAGCGCTATTTAAAAAGTTTTTGTGAAAAACAAATTGAAGATATTTTCATAACAATTGGAGTGTTTGACAGTTACTTTTTTAAATTGCCATCTAGGGATGCAGTGATATATCGAAAATCGATATATATTTCGATATTGTTAATAAAAATATCACTACATATCGATATTGAAAATACAGTGATAACAATGACGAAGTATTTTAAGAAAAAAAAAGAAGGGTGCTTTCTTTTTTTTTTCTTAAAATACTAGCTAGATGGTGATTCTACCTGTAGCGAAATTTCATATTGTTTATGTCACTGGTGGACAATGATTATTATATATTCTCAGAGAGTGAGTAACAACGCAGGAAGAGAATTTTCCTTGGTCTCTTAATTATATAATTTGTTGAGTATTTGAGAAGCGTTTAACTTTCTACATCCAAACCATCCAATTTGAAGTTGACATTGAATATTCTGGTGAATTGAATGCAGTACGCACCTCCAAATACCAAAAGTTAATTTTTCTAGAAACGAATAGACCAAAATCCAAATGATGATGTTCCTGTTTCTGACTGACTTCAAAATGTACATACGCCGCTTGATTTAATCGGCCCGTCATCACCGTTGTTTGTTATGAGTGTACCGAGATACAAAACGATTGGGCGACGTCGCAGTTCGCAATTTTGGCTATTTTTAGCGAGTTGGTATTAAGGCGATCAAGAGTCATCATCTTCGTCTTGTTGTAATTTATTTTCAGGCTGAAGTCAAGGTCTGATACTTTTGCAAAGAAGGTCGCATGTAGTAAGTTAGAAATTTTACGTCTTTTAATGAGGAAGTATTTAAAAAAATAAAACACTAAAAAGAACTTCCGCTAGATGGCGACTCAAACAAAACTTGATTTTTGCAGGAAATGAATGGACCAAAGATAGTCGTTTGCCGTTCATTTTAACCAAAATATTAAAAAACTGAAATTTGCAAAGTTCGTAACTTAGATATCAGTACAAATACGAAAAAGTACAAAAAGAATATGAATTGATTATTGAGTTTTAAACTAATTTACTTTTATACATGAAAGAAAACCGGAAAAGCTGTCATGGAGAAATCAAGAAAGTACCGTAGCGACATCTAGTTTGATTTCGGGAACAAATTTTTTTTTTAATACTTCCTCATTGTGATTCCGGTTTAATTTATTTTCTATTTTTCCCTGGCTTGTAAAAATGTCTTCATATCTTCTCCTCCACTAATCGTTCACATATATATAATTCGAATTGTTAGAGTACACAACATTATAACATCCACGGATCTTTATATTTCCATTTATGAATGACAAAACAGTATACCGTCCCGTCGCGTTCAGCACGCATAGCATGGCGAACGTGAATACATTTTGTATAAACGCAAATGTTACTTTTCTTGGGTGCGCCCATACGATATCTTTCTCGATCAGAAAAAAACGACCTTCCAGAGATCTAAGTATTACTAATGATCTAAAATCTATTATAAGGTATAGACTTCAAGATAGTGTTTCTCGAGTTTGTTAGGTTGAGCGTGCAGGAATGACTAAATAACCCTTAAAATAAACGTTCTTGGAATATGGCAAGAAACGCAGGGTTTATATCTCAAACTAAAATTTGTATATAAAGTATCGAAGATATATTTTCCCATTGTGTCCACTAAAAGACCGACTAAATGCCTCTTAACAAAATTAAAAGCAAACATTATACAAAGTAGAAATAGTTTCTAGCTACACTGACAATGAGTCTGACTGATAGTTTCCTGTATCTGTATGTACTATTAGAAACCAAAGATATATTATACCAGATTAGGTTGTATCAGTTCGATCCTTTTGCCTTCAAATATTAAAAACTATATGAACATATACTCATCTGATCAGCCAATCATATTTTAGCTAAAGAGTGCTACTTATTTTTCATTGGTCATAGGGTGGATAAATTGACAACTCCTTCGAAGAAGAGAACGATGTCAATTTTCATTTATTCTTTTCGTTGTCAAGCAAAATGGCGGATCAGGTATGTGCTGGTTTTTAAGTGAAATAAATTAATTTTTGTTTTATTAAAGCCATAATTATACTTGCTGCTACGGTGGCCGGCACGCAATTCAATTTTAACTTCTAAATACTACGATTTTCTGAGTGTTTTAGTGAAAAATTTACATTTAAATTTGCGTGCACGTGGATCGCGGTATTTGCTGTACTTTTATGATTTCGTGTTACTATGTTTATAAAATTTATGATCAATGTTGTAGTTACTTGCCAACAAATATTAATTTCTTAAGTTCACTGATATTGTACCCAGTCATAACGATAAGACCGTAAATATTCAGTGCTATGAGGTATGTTTCATAGGTTACCTTTGAAGATTATAAAGATTTGTAGGTTTATTCAAAAACATAAACAATAATATTAATTTCTTAAAAATAGTGTTTTTCTTCTGTGCAGAGCTATAGCTAAGTTCTTTTACAGTCTATCCTAATGTTTCTTAGATATTTTGATACTAATACTGATTACTTGATCTTGTACTTATACTACTTAAACTTTCTTTTGTTGAAATTATTTAGAAATAGACTAATAATAATAATTATTGAAAAACTTGCAGACGGAACGTTCATTCCAAAAGCAACCAACGGTGTTCTTGAACCGTAAAAAGGGCATCGGCGTGAAGCGGAGCAGGAAACCTTTGAGGTACCACAAAGACGTGGGCCTCGGGTTCAAAACGCCCCGCGAGGTAACGCATGTAGTGTGATTGCTAACAAGTGTGTTTTCTTATTTCCGTAGACAGAGAAAGCGTTTCAGAAACAAGCGACGGTGTTCCTCAACCGTAAGGGGGGCCTCAAGAAGAAGGATATGAGACATCATAAGAATGTCGGTCTAGGTTTCAAGACGCCAAGAGAGGTCTGATTGTCAATTATTGATGGTTCGGTGGAGGATGTTGCAGGGACATTGCGGCTATGTTGTTAACACTGAAAACACAATCATAATTTTGTTTTGACTAGCTAGTTTTACTGTTCATTGTTGAAACAAATATTATGTGTGTATTCATTCTACATTACTAACCTTTCACTATCATTCTGAGATTGAACAAATCTCAAATTATCATTTGCATACTTTAATTGTCCCTAAGCTTAAAATTATGTAAAAACATACATATTGCATGGGGTAAATAGATGTAAGTTATATTTTTTTAGTTTTAATCAGTTTATGAATTAATTGATGAATTAATATATTTTTAATTCTTGATCTAATACTTACATTTATGTGGATGTGTTGTGGTGGTATTCATAAACTGTTTACATTTATTTTTATTATGCAAATCATAAAACTTCATTGAGACCATGGTGAAGGAATATAAACAGCTTCATTACTGGTGCAAATAATTTACTTTTAAGACTGTAAAATGATGAAATCCACACGACGGTCTTCTGATGACCAATTGATGAAGATCGTGTTAACCCAAACTCTGATTGCAGTCTTGAAAGGTCTGCATGAGTGAGGCAATCATTAAACCACATAATATCATTAAAAGTACATTATTATTTTGTAATATATTTTATAGAAAATGTATTAATATTTAAGCTATAGAAACCAAAGGTAATAAAGCTGGCTATAGTATAAATTGGCTCATTTTCATGCAATTTTTGAATAGGTCTTCATTATTTTTCATATTAACAAATAAATGCTTCGCTTTAATAATACTTTCACTTTATGGAAGGTTATTATACACTGGAAATTTTCAAATAAGGCACAATCTGGAAATCAACTTTTGGATAAACAAGTAATCCAATCCATAATTGTACTGAATCAGTTCAATCATTTGGTTGAAGTCTTTTACAAATTAGAAGTAGGGATGCGTTTGCAAATCAATATTTACAGCGGGCTCATATTAACTCTCAAGTGCTTATTTTACTAAAAATAGTCTCCCTTGAATTATGAAAAGAGCATGTATAGTAAATAGATTTTAATTTCATTAATAATCAAATTTCAGGCCATTGAAGGAACATACATAGACAAGAAATGTCCATTCACTGGCAATGTGTCTATCCGTGGTCGCATTTTAACCGGTGTTGTTCAGAAGATGAAGATGCAACGCACTATAGTCATCCGTAGAGATTACCTGCACTACCTGCCTAAATACAACAGGTTTGAAAAGAGGCACAGAAACATGTCGGTACATCTCTCGCCATGCTTCAGGTTAGTGGAAAAAAATATGTACTCATGCTTGACTTAAGTGTATTTCAGTTCAACTCTTATTGAAATATTATACCATAAGATAAATAATTGGTTTTCATAAAATAAGTAATTGCACAACTTTTTTATTAATTATTATATCATACATGTATTTCAAGGACCTCAATATATTATGTATGCGCAATATGAAGAATCTACAATTTAATGTGATTTTTCATTTTCATGTGATAATAATGTTGGGCAGAACAAAAAGCTGGTTTTATTGTTAGTAGTTTAGTACCCAAAGGATAAAACGGGAATCCTATTACTAAGACCTTGCTGTCTGTCTGTCACCTCTCATCTCTCATGAATTGAAAATTAGACAGTTGAAATTTTCACAGATGATGTATTTCTTTTACTGCTTCAACAATGAAGTATAATTTCCACATTTAATATCAAAGAGATATTTATATTTTAATATGTAAAAAACTGTAATGTAGTTTTTGTTTTAATAATTATTGGGAATCAAACGAAGATATACATAACATGCTGCATACATTTTATTGTTTTATTCCTGTAAGTCATGTGACAGGGTTAGAAATTGAAGACTGCTTAAACCCCAAAGAAAGCTCTGAAAAACCACTATTTACATATGAAATGTATTCACAAGTTTTAAGAACACAGCATGTATGTTTAGGTATACCTATGTTAGCTTGGAAGAAGACTTGTTTTATTTACGTTAACTTTATATTAAAATACCTTTGTTTCTTAGTAATCTGTTTCTTCCATGTCCTCTCCTGTTTGTTCTCCCTGCACCCAGTGCAGCGTATTAGGTATTTGTCAGATAGTCCAAACATCACATTGCAAAAAAAAAACGGAAGTCCTAATTATTTATTTGCTCTAATTAGCTTGTCATTATTCAGAATGTCCGGAAATTATGAAGCATGTCTTTATTTATCACTTGGTCCAAATACAGTACAGATATTTTTAATTCGTATATATACAACTAATTATCGAAAATGGATTTTAGGTCTATTTATAAAAATTTCGCTTGTCTATGATGATACCCACACGACGGTCTTCCGATTACGAACTGACGATAAACGTGTTCTAACCCAATATCTGATAGTCTTGTTCAAACCACTGACATTTAAATAAATTATAAACCTTACTGAAATTTATTTTCTTATAATTTCAGAGACGTGGAGCTTGGCGACATCGTCACCATTGGTGAATGTAGGCCGTTGTCCAAGACTGTACGATTTAATGTACTGAAGGTCTCCAAAGGCAAAGGCTCAAAGAAGTCTTTCAAAAAATTCTAAATAAATCTACTTTATAAGTAAACTATAGTTTCATTTGATAATCATGTATTGAAAGTACTCAATCAAATCATTCGTAACTACAGTTTGTTGTGAATGAGAAAATTTCACGATCTTGATATTATTATATTTATCACAATACAATAAAAGAATAGGTCAAAACTAAAATAAATCTGAAACAAAATTAAATCCGTTAATAAATGACCCAATCGGCTAAAAACTATTTGTTTCGCACGGAACGTCTGACCTCCGACGCGCCTGTGACCGTCTTATCACCATACTGTAATACTAATATTTGCTTTAGATCGTCTCGCTAACATTTAATTTGTAGTCTGCAGAGCAAATTATTTCTACTCATTGGGTAGTCTGGCGTTGTGTCGTAGTTATGTTAATTAATATCACTTTAAATTTGAAGTATGTTCTATTTTATGAAATATGTTTTATGTATTAACTGTTGATTTAAATAATTGCATATTTACACTGCTCGATAAACTGCAGTTTCAGTAAATGAGTTTGTACTAGTTACGAAACCAAAGACCTAATGAAAATAAACACGTAAATCTCCGCACACTGCATGCGAGCCCTATCGACCAATGACAATGAGCTTTCAAAAGTGGATAAACCAAGGACAGGCGATGATCGCCTACTATAAATAGGCACAGAAATCACTGCACACTGCATGCGGGTCCTATTGACCAATGTATATGAGCATGCAGTAGTGGATATGTGCAACTGGACTGAGTGATCCTTTTGCAATTTTCAACAAAACCAAAACGTACATTTAGTCAAAATTTGTCAAAACTCATAACCGAAATAAAAAAATTTGTCGCTATTAAGCGATCGAAGATATTGCCCAATATGTGGATCACTCAATTCAGACATTAGAGAAAATGGCTACAAGCCGAATCTCAGGAAATACTAACACTGAATAAAATTTTTATATCAAAAAATTGTACAGAATTTGTCACATTATTTTGCAAAAATCAAGATACTTTTATGTAAATCCAGAATTCTACGATAGTTTCAATGGATCACTCAATCCTGACGCATTTAGGTTGAGTGATTCTAGAAATACGGTAATATGCTTACAATATACATGATAAGTTTTTTTTTACTTTAAAGAAACTTTTAAATATATTTGTACAAATTAATTTCACACCTCAAATGTTTATAGTTAAAAAGTTATGTCCAATCAAAGCTTTTTAAATTTTCTGAATTGAGTGATCCTTATAAACGCATGTAGATAACAACTCCTTGTTATGATGTTAAATGCAAAATACGTTGAAAATTTGTACAACATTGTGACTAAAATTTGGCATATAATTTATTTGTTAACGTCATTTTATTCACGAGATATTCGTTTTTAAATTTTTTGTCAAAGAAATATACAGTAGGGAGACCATAATGCGATTTTATTGGGAACTTAAAAGCTATTAATGATAAACGTATGTATTTTATGAGTGTGATTCAAAGTTGCTATATCAATCTTTGCACTACATTGAGAACATTTTCCTTTAAATTTTAGGGTGTCATCCTGAATTTTATACTTCTTCAAAGTCCAAGTGCATGGTAACTTCGAATTTAGCCATATCTTTTCCTTTAACATGTCTGACCATTTGAATTTTGGTAACGTCTTATATCTCTGATAATGGCCTGAGTGAGATTTTTTTCTCTTTAAATATAACGGCGTTATTTTTTTTTTAATCATAGGTATCAACGTCTAATGTAAACGAACAACTTTTACCGTCTAAAACAGTTTTTGGACTATTAAGTGTACTCGATGTTAAGGTTGTAGGAGTTGAAATTCCAGAAGTATCTTCTGTTTGTTGTTCTTTGTCTAAGATGTTATTGTTTCTTAAATTGTTTTAATATGGTCACCCTACTGTATATTTCTTTGACAAAAAATTTAAAAACGAATATCTCGTGAATAAAATGACGTTAACAAATAAATTATATGCCAAATTTTAGTCACAATGTTGTACAAATTTTCAACGTATTTTGTATATAACATTATAACAAGGGGTTGTTATCTACATGCGTTTAAAAGGATCACTCAATTCAGAAAATTTAAAAAGCTTTCATTGGACATAACTTTTTAACTATAAACATTTGTGGTGTGAAATTAATTTGTACAAATATATTTAAAAGTTTCTTTAAAGTAAAAAAAAGTTATCATGTATATTGTAAGCATATTACCGTATTTCTAGAATCACTCAATCTAAATGCGTCAGGATTGAGTGATCCATTGAAACTATCGTAGAATCCTGGATTTACATTGAAGTATCTTGATTTATGCAAAATCATGTGACAAATTCTGTACAATTTTTTGATATAAATATTTTATTCACAGTGTAAGTATTTCCTGAGATTCGACTTGTAGCCATTTTCTCTAATGTCTGAATTGAGTGATCCACATATTGGGCAATATCCTCGATCGCTTAAGAGTGAAAATTTTTTTGATTTCGGTTATGAGTTTTGACAAATTTTGACTAAATGTACGTTTTGGTTTTGTTGAAAATTGCAAAAGGATCACTCAGTCCAGATGCACATTAGTGGATAAACCAATGACAGGCAATAATCGCCTATTGAAAATAAACAGAAATCGTTTGGACTCCGCATGCGGACACTATCGACCGATGTACAGTCTGTCTATAAATTCATGAAAAAAATTGAGGGCGCTGCGATCGTGCACGTAGCAACCCTGTGTAGTGAGACAAATGATTTTGATAGTAGGATTTTATTTATTTATAGTAAAATAAACCGGATATTTTTTTTACTTTTATTACCCCAGAAAAGGTAAAGAAAGGCGTATAATTCGTAGACAATGAGTTTATTCTACATTGAAGATTACAATATAGTAATCGTAATTTTTGATAAATCTTTTATTTATAATTGCCAAGTTGTTTTCTCGTTTTACTGCAATGTGTGCTTGTGTTCGATTAAAGCCTGTTACTTTGACACTCCTTGTAAGAAAACCCAATATATTTCAGAATTTAACGCAGGACTTCTAGGCTACAATTAAAATCCAGATCGGTTTTGGCATCCACTGATGTTTTCTTCATGTAGAACTGAATCTTTTCTCGAAGTGCACAAATGTTGCAGTTAAACATTTATTTCTTAGGACGACTATCTATGTTTCCCAGGGGTTTCAAATATGCCACCATTTTTATAGCCTTCATCTAAAATACGTATTACTATATTCTCTGATTTTCCTGAAAGCATACTTGTATCTAATGTTAGTTCCTCAAACATTATTTTCATGACTTTATAGACAGACTGTAAATGAGACTAGAACAACCGATTGATATAGTCGGCTAGCGGTATCAGTGTTATTAATAAACAAGGTTTAGCGTTGGAGTAAATTTACACTGGACTGCACCTAGTATTAATCAAAATATATACTAATAAACAGACAGAGACTTGGAAAAAATTAACCTAGTACGAGGTTCTACGGTAGTAATATTAATAAGGTACAGGTAGTTGTTCTAGAACCTATTGATAATGCCTTGAATAACAGGAACTTGTATGATTGTAGGATTAAGACCAATATAGAAATTCTAAATATGGTATCGACCCCTATAAGTATGCGGTGGACTACTCATCTCGGCATCACCACGGCATTCTTCAATGATCGAACAAGCGATCGGAAACGAAACGGGGACGGGTGGTTAGCACGTTTGATCTGCGAATTGGATGGGTGATCAAATTTTTTTACATGCTACTAAGCACTGTCTCCAGAGACCAGAGACAAGAGAAGATAAGACTGCCAAAACCTGCCACACCTCGCTCCGCCCCGTACCATCCCGCCTCATCCCGCAACGCCGATTGTACTCCACCACGCTCAACCAATTACAAAAAAATATCACCCATCCCATTACTTGCCTTTGCGAACGCCTTTTATTCTTCGCAATCGCAAATCAAATCCCATAACTTATGTAACACATAAGTGAAGGAAAGAGAGCACTTGTACACGTGCACGTAAATGCACAATTTACTTCATTGATAAAAATATATTGAGTTTAGAAAAAGTTGTTTTAAATTACTAATCTAATAAATCGATCGAATTGCATCACGGTAAGTTACGTTGTATAATAATTCAATGCAGAATAAATATTCTAATAATAATTTCTTAAATTCAATATTAATGATCATTAAACATTACTAAAAAAATGTTTTATGAAGTTATTATACCCTTTCACAGTGACGACTGCATACAACCGATATTTCTGCTTCACGTATCTGACCCCAACTGCTGAGACATTTTTGTCGGATTTCTTCAGTTTTCGGATAATTGTAATAATACTTTCCTATGTCCACATATATACATGTCATCCACATATTACAAGAATTCATATTTGTTAGATTTACAATGCTGTTATTTTTATTTTAAACGTGAAAAACGTATTGTATCCACTACAAGATTCACTTGGAACACTTTTCACGATTTTAATTCTAAGAACTAGTTGGAAAAATGAGTGATGCCCATGGAGGTCCAAAATATCTCTGTATTGCAAAATCACTATTATGTTTATTAATGTCCAATGCCTCACGCGAGAGAATATTATCTCAAACTAACTTAATCTCAAATTTACTTCAAAGGATTTGGCGGTGGCGGCGTAATGGATAAGCGCTGCGGCCCGCAAACGTTGTTATTAAACAACTTTAGCAAGTGTCAGTCGCGAAATTAGTAACCAAAAAATTGTTATCTCGAGCTACTCCGTGCTTCGGAAGGCACATTAAGCCGTTGATACCGGCTGCATATGCAGTCATAAATACCCTCCAACCCGCATTGGGCTAGCGTAGAAGGTTCAATAAACCATCCTCCTTAAGGAAAGCCTGAGCCCATGCAGTGGGAACGCAACAGAGCTGATGATGATTAACTTCAATCAAACAAAAACGACGGACAGATTCCTTGGTTTTTACAATTGGCATAAAGGAACACGGACACTGTATCAGTTTTAAACCAACCTAAGAAATAGTTTAAATAATGTCCCTAAAACCAATAAACAATGAAAATAACCAAATGAAAAGTATTTATTATTTTTAATGGTAGTGTCAGGCAGATTTAACATTTTGAAACGGTCACCCTGCTACAGAAGCCTTCAAAAAACAAAATACTAATTTAACTATTAAGTGTATGGATTTATCTTTCCCCTTTATTATTTTACCGATTATTGTATTGGGTCACCACTTTACCGAAATGTTATGTGTTTTATTTGTTAGTATATAGGTTGATATTTAACTTATGATAAGTTTACTATTTGACTCTATTTATACGAAGGATCGGTAAAATAAATAATAGTTATGAGTTTACTTTCAGACTATTTGATGTTGAAGTGCCACTTACAAAATACAAAATATCATAGATTACGTTGCCACAGAGTGGTCGACAAAGATTATAAAACAGATGTGCCACAGTATAATGAAATGATTGTAAGAAAATAAGCGGCAAAAAGGGCAAGAACCCAGTGCCATTAAAAAAAAAATAAAAAAAAGCCGTCAAAAATTAATTCCTCATCCATCGATTTGTAGGTTAAATTAAGGTGCGTGTTTGTTTTCTAAGCAAATGTAGGGTTTCTTACTTATTTACCGTGTATTATCAATATAATTTGCTTATTTGCTCCCTCAGATAGTCAACTTTTAAATAAAAGAGGGTTTACTATTCATTATGGAGGACATTGAAGATGTAGATTATGTTGCCGCAGAACATGATGCATTAGTGAAAGCAGTTTCAAATTTAGATAAAACACAACATATTACGGAACCGACACGTAATGAACCCACGAATGTGAGTTCTGAATTCCACTTATTAAAGAGGTCTAACAAATTAAACCTCAACAATGTCGTTGAAGTTTTAGACGGCACTGCTCATCGTTCAAAAATAAGTAAAAAATTGAAAAAGATTCAAAAGGAGTCACATGTGTTACCTAAACCTTTGGAGAAACCTCAAGCGGATAGAATCAAACGATCTACCGGTTATGAGGAAAGCAAAAAGAAGGTTGGTCGGTGGGATCCTGTTGTAGCTCGAAACCGTACTGTTGATTTTGTGTCATTTCCAATAAAGCGTGACTCAAATAAGCTTCAGTCCACTGAGGATTTCTTGTCAAAGCTCAAATTGAAATCTTCACTTGAAAAAGAATTGGATGAAGTAGATCCACCAAACATTATGGAAGAGGATGAAGAAGAACCAACTTATCCTATGTCCTATGAAGAAATGGTAGAACATAGACAGCATTCAGCTAAAATTAGAGCACAACAATCATATAAGGCAGCGAAAGCAAAAAGACAAAGTAAAATAAAGAGTAAAAAGTATCATAGGTAAGTATTTTATTTTAAAAAGCATATGTACTATTTAACCCATGGAAAATTGTATTAATCAAAATTTTAATGTAGAAGTAAGTAGGTATTTATTTTTATTGTTACAAGTAAGAAGTTATAATGCACAAATATCAAAAATATTTTTTCCAAAATATCACACTTCTATAGACTTTATTTTTATAAAAAAAGTTTACAGGAATAGGCTCTGTTTTGCAAAAATCTAATGCTACTCTTACTTAATCAGCATTATCTTGAATATAATTTAATAAATATATTTAAAAGTTTAATTCTTTAACCACTTATTTTAAATGTTTAATATTTTACAATTAGTTATTTTATATTTTATCATAAAAAAGTATCAATAAAAATTACTATATAATAATTAAGTATACCATAACATATTTTAGTTCATAAAACTAACATATTAATTATGTTGTTAATACAATCTTCTATTTTGTGCCAAACACTCACTACATTTAATATTAAGTTAATTATCTGTTATCTACCTTTTTACAGAATACTTAAAAAAGAAAAACTAAAGCTACAGCTTAAAGAATTTGAAGAGTTACAAAAGAAGAATCCGGAAGAGGCTTTACAGAAGCTTGAGGCTCTGGAAAAGGCTAGAGCGTTAGAGCGACATACTTTGAGGCACAAAAATACAGGAAAGTGGGCTAGAAATCAGTTGATTCGAGCTAAATATGACAAAGAGGTAAGATTTCCTTATAAACTATAATATTCTTGCTGATATTATTGAATTATTTGTGTTATTAAAATCACATTAAATTGTTATTAAAATCATATTTGAATTACAGGTAAGACAGCAGATTGCTGAACAGTTGGCTGTAAGTAGAAATTTAACACACAAACCTCAAGACACAGAGAGTACAGATGATGAAACTGAAAACAATGAAGTAATTCCAGATATAAACCTATGTCAAGACCCTATGAATCCTTGGATGTTGCAAAGATCGGATAAATCAAATATAAATGATGAATTTAATTTTGGTTACAAAAAATATTTAAACAATAGAATGTTTAAGAGAAAGGATGGTAGTGAATCAGATTCTAATAATGAAGAGACTGCCAATGTAGAAGATATCAATGAGTTAGATAGAGACAAAATAAGTTCTTTAAGAGAAAGTATTAAAAAATTGGCTGGAACTGAAAATGTCAATAATAAAGAGATTATAATGAACACTACTACTTCAAAGAAAAGTACTGATAATTATAAATCCCCTAATAAAAAAAATATCAAAAATAGGATAAAAGCTATTGTAGCAACATCAAATTGGATTGTTGAAACAATCAACAATAATGTAAATGATGAAAAACAAACTAATATTAAAAAAGAAGTAACTTCAGCTTTTGAGTCATTTGAAAATGATGTAGCAAACAAAGTTGAGCAGAAACTGAAAAAGTTGAGAAAGGATATTAACCTTTTGGAAAAACCAAGTAAGCTATCTAATAAAAATAAAAAAATAATTGAAAAGGAATATGATAGTTTTGAAAACTTGAAATTTAAGAATCAAAAACTTAAAGCTATAATAGATGAAGAACTGATAGAAACTGATAATTCAACTAAAAATAAGGATTCTGATAATGTAAAGGATGCATCTAAAGTATTAGAAACTATACAGCATAATGTACAAGAAAACACTACTTCTGATATTGATCCTAATCGATTTATTGAAGTCAAACCTAAATACTTAAACACTGCATTGCCAAACTTAGAAAATGACAATGATGAATTGGATGATGATCAAGTTGTTCCAAAGGTTAATATTGAAGAAGTGTTTGAAGAAGATGATATAGTTGCCAGTTTTAGACAAGAAAAGGAAGAGGAGGCCAAAAAGGAGCCTAATGATATTGATCTTAGTCTTCCCGGTTGGGGCAACTGGGGAGGTAAAGGCGTTAAAGCTCCAAAAAGAAAAAGGAACAGATTTATAGTTAAAGCTGCACCGAAAATGCCTCGGCGAGATGAAAATAAAGGAGACGTGATCATTACAGAATATAAAGATCCTAAACTAGCTTCTCATAAAGTAACAGATGTTCCATTCCCTTTTACAGGTGTTAAAGAGTATGAAGCGTCTATCAGAGCTCCTATGGGTAACACATTCATACCTGAAAAAGCCCATAAAATATTAATTCGACCAAATGTTATCACGAAAGCCGGTACCATAATAGAACCAATGGATGAAGACGAATTGTTAGTTAAGAAAAATCGCAATTTCTGGAATAAAAATGTTATAAATCTATTGGCAAAAAAATAAAGAATTTTTTTTTCTTGTAATTTTTACTAACTATCCTTTGCCTGTACTATAATGCGACTATCGTAGAGTTTTGAGAGTGTAACTAAAAAAATGACTTAAATACGTGAACTGCAAACGAGACAAAGCCAGGGGGCCAGTAAATTTCAGAAGTCGATTTCATTGGTGTGGCTCCACACTGACATTTTATTATTTTGTTTTAAATTTTGCTGTATATACAAACTGTTTGCTTCGAGTTAGCTTCTCTCAGCCTCCTTCATTGTTTTCTAGCGTAGAGTGCCTGCCAACTAGACGTGTAACTAACAAGAATTCAAATCGGTCCTGCTCGTTGTACGTAAAAAAATAATCATTATACATAGTTCATTAGCTATCAAATGAGAATAAAACTTCAGTACAATTACCTTAAGCTCCTTAAATTTAAACAAAATTACGTAGGCGGGATGATAAATAGCTATCCCAGCCCATATTTTGTATAATAAAGATATAAAATCTTAGTATTTTAATTATTGGTTCATTGGCTGCCAGTGTTCCAAATTTCAAATCGATCGTATAATTTTTCCCTATAAATATTGACATTTCAAAAAGCATTCTTTTGTTTTTTCTGCAAAATGGATAAAATTGAGCTACGAGCTGTGATAAAGTTTTTGTATTTAAAAAGATTAAAAGATGGAGAGATTTTTTCGGAGATAGAGGATGTTTTGGGAGAAAATGCTCCTTCATATGCGACCATAAAAATTAGGTGGCTGAATTTAAACGTGGCCGTACCAGCACCCAAGATGAACATCGTCCAAGACGTCCAAAAAGTGCCATTACTCCAGAAATTGTGATCAAAATTCATGATGCAGTTTTAGCTGACCGAAGATTGAAACTTTCCGAGATAGCTGATACTGTAGGCATCTCTAAAGAACGGGCGCATTACATTTTGATTCAAGAATTATATTTTTCCGCAAGGTGGGTGCCGCGATTACTTACAGTTGACCAAAAACGCGTTCATATGCAAATTTCACAAGAATGTTTGGACCGCTTTAAGAGCAATACAACTGATTTTCTGCGACGGTTTGTTACTACAGGCGAGACTTGGGTTCACCACTATATACCTGAATAAAAAATTCAGTCTAAACAATGGACGGAAAAAGGATCGCCGGCTCCAAAGAAAGCAAAAGCCGTGAAATCAGCGGGGAAAGTCATGGCGTCAGTATTTTGGGATTATTAATAATTGATTACCTTCCAAAAGGACAAAACATAAATGGCGAATATTATGCTGATCTACTGGATACATTACAAGTGTGTATTCGTAAAAAGACCCGGCCTGGCAAAAAAAAAATCTTTCATCAGGATAATGCGCGCGTTCACACGTGCATCACTGCGATGGCGAAATTCAAAGATTAAATTAGGATTTGCTACCACACCCAGCATATTCTCCTGATCTGGCACCATCTTGCTCTCATCTATTCCCTAAGCTCAAATTTTTTTTAGGTGGACAAAGATTTGAAAATAATAGCGAGGTGATGTCTGCCGTGGACAGTTATTTTCAGAGTCAAGACTTCAGAGCATAGATGGATGAAGTGCATAGCGCTTAAGGAGACTATGTCGAAGAATAAATATACTTTTAACACACTAATTCAAATTTTTCTATGCTAGGCTAGCTATTTATCATCCCGCCCTCGTACGTTATTATACTGAATGTTCATCGATCCGGCTGCCCGCTACGTAATAGCGAGCCGTACGCATAGCGCGTCATCTTAACTTAGGTCATGTTCAGAGTGCTGAGTTATGCTTTAATGTGACGCGGTACGAAATATTATGGGTATGTTCCGATATACACTGCGAGCACTGCGCAGTGGTCTTACTGCTGAAAAATCCGTTCCGATATGGACTGCCAGTACACTGCTACAGTACCCTAGGGAAATTTATGACGTCATAAATTGCCGCCATATTTGTACTGTGAGCACTGGAGATTTCGAGGTAAGGTGCTCGCAGTGCTTTTGATCACGTGATCAGTCGAAACAGAATCAGAAAATGATAAGTTTCTAAATAAACAAAAAAAATACTTACGTTTATTATAAGATGGATTTAATTGATAAATAATTTTTTTATCACAATTTTATAATATTTTCTTTTGAAAAGAGGGAATCTTTATTTATATTCACCTTGCATTAACAAATTTGAAAATGGCGCCAAAAAATAGGATTAACAGTATACTGGACTGCGTTCCGTTTTAAAAAGTCACCAGTATAACTAGCTATAAAGGAACGAGCTTCCAGTATACTAAATTGACGTCATACTGTTCAGTGGTCGCAGTGTATATCGGAACATACCCAATGACATATGGCATTACTTTTCAGCGTACTGTTTTTCGTCTAAGTTGTATTTATAGGGGCCGATACCATATCTAAAATGTTCTAAATTAGGACCTAAGATAACCAACAGTATGTAAAACTCATCCAATGAAAAGTGGTTAAGAGCCCTATTACAAATTTGCACTGTGTGAGATTAGGTATTTTGAAACGTCCTGGGTTCTCGACAACTTGTTCAAGGTCACGAGTCAACAAGATACTGTGTTGAAACGATGACCAAGCTATTTTGATACTGTCTCCCAATTTTTGTGCATTTTAGTATTTCTATGGTGTGATTGTGATACCCGATGGTAAAACGGGTATAAAGAAAGACCAGGGAGCTTTTAGATCACATGAGTTTATTTACCACCAAAATTATATATATATATGTATTTTATAAAAATATAAACAGCACCGACAACAGCTTTACGAAGAGACTTTAATATATATAAGCAATAGGCGCGCATGTGCAGAACAGATTTTCAATATTTAAATTAAAATTAAAAAGATCTTAAACCAAGAAGGAGGTCTCCCTCAACAGATTGGATTTACAAACATTTGAACATGACTGCCCAAGAAAAGGAGTCGATTGTATTTAGAGTTAATGTATGTATGTGAGTTTTTTAATCCATCATAACTTTTGAAAGACATAACGAATATAAATGTATAGGATATCATTAGAAACATTACATGATCCCCAGTGACCACAAACTAGATAGAGTATCAGTGACATTGACTATATTTTTAAATATAGCGGATGTATGCGGCCATTTAAAAAGTATGTTTTTCCAATTATAGCAATAAAAATATGTAATCTCTATACATAATTAAATGTTCACTAAAAGGAATAAAATATAAATAAATAATTTAAAAATTAAAAACACGACTGCTAAGATCGAACTAAAAATAAAAGAAACAAGTTTATCCAAATCATTAGTGGACTGTACAGTGGAACATTTGTGATCTAAGAAAATATTGTAATATTTGAGAATATGTTTAGCCAAGCTATAATACCACTTTCATAATTAAAAATATATTGAATTTAGAAAAACTTGTGTGATATACGGATCTCCGATAAATCGGTCAAATTAGGTATATGCAATTTAAATCGACTATCGATTAGATATCGGTCGAATTACATCGAACCCTGAGTAAAGTCTAAGTTAACCCTTATTACATAAGCCAACTTCCAGTGAAAGTTCACTACGAACTATGGCAAGTTATTCTGCACTATTCAACAAATCAAAATTATTAATATATTTTTGTTTCCGAGATCGAGAACGCCAAAATTTACTATTTTACGCAAAAATCACATATGAGATGTAATAGGGCTCTTCATATGTCCAGATTTTTTTATTGAGGTTTACACACAAAATCTCGTATTGGGGTTTATTGTCTGTATGTTCTAAAGCTAAAGAATAAAACGAGACATTTAAATGAAGAAATATTTATTTGTAACGTTACTTAGGAAACAATGAGCAAAATAAAGTAGGGTTTAATACATAAATCATAAAAATACGACAATAATTGTATTGTATTCAAACAATTACAAATAAATCACTTTTCAACTTTTAAAAGAATACACTTACAGTGAGATAAATACAACTGCTGTTGCTCAATGAAGTACAGACAATAGCACATCTGGTGATTTTTATTAACAGAAGGCTAAATTTCGAATCGCGGTAATTGACGGCTAATGAGAGTGATTAAGTATGACACCATCGAGCGATATACCAATATCGACGTGAGTGAGACGCGCACCTAACGTGATGTATTTTACACCATAACGAAAAAGTCTATAAATTTTAATTTTACGTTCGGTCATCATCAGAATGGATCTGCTCCGCGTACACGAAGATTCACCGCTATATCAGTTGGAACTTTCTGTACATCGCTTTATCTGTTAACACAATTTTTTCTTATTACGCAAATATAATTTTCTTACTTTGACATGAATTATTCTATAGATTCAATCGCTAGTTTGGAATTTAATAATTCTATAAATACTTAGGTTTAAAATATACAGCAAAACCTAAGTAGGACTAAGAAACCGATTTGATTATTTAAATCAGATACTAGGTATAACTATTTTACGGAATAGGTCGACTTATATAAACATTTTTACGGTACGTACACATTACAACACGTCAGGTTACCACAATACATCAAGATTTAACATCAAGAAGAGAAATTTCGCATATTTTTATAACCTGACGTGCTGTTGCCTGTACTAATAACATTATCAGAATATCTAATTAATCTATTGTGATTTTTGATTTCATAAAACTAGTTTTCCTGTCGCAGGTATATTAAGCAAATCTTCATTTTAGACATGACATTGTTAAATCTGTCACGAAAGAAACGAACGAATTCTAAACTGACGGATCATCAATAAACTGTGACATTATCTTTAACATAGAAAAAAAAAACCATTGCCTTAAAATACCAAGAATATGACCACATTTATGTTTAAAGATAACACTGGAAAAAAAAAGAAACTGTTAATATAAAAGATTTGTATACACAGCACGTCAGGTTTACACATGATTTTCAACTCTACCTTTAATTCATTAAGGTTTAAAATGTAATGAAGAATTTGACAGGCTTGTTTAACATGACGTGCTGTTGACTGTACATCAGACAGGATCGAACACACACTCTTCATCATGATGCCAAAAGGAAGATTTACGGATTTTTTTTATGAATCTAGATAAAGAATTCGGAAACAACTTCAAACTAAGAAAAAAAAATGTGAGGAATAAGCCGTCTTTTTGTGAATGAATGAATCATCTAATTAAGTTTTATTAAGGTATTTGCCGTATTTTTACACCATATTTTTTATGTAACATATCTAAAAACACAATTCTGTGGCTTCATCAATATGAGAGCGAACTTTTGTACTATAGATTTAAATAAAACTCACAAATTAAACAATAAAATACAAGAAAGCAAACTGATATTTTACTTGTACATAAGTCTTTAATTTTTATCTGTATCGTATGAATATAAGCTGCGCCCAATACCAAATAATATTGATGTCAATATGCCTATTTCAATATCTTTATAAAATATTTATTCTATAACAATTTTATCTACATTCAAAAGTAGTAAATATCCCATATACATATAAATATCCCCACTGATACCTTAAACATAAAAAAATAAGTCTGTAATTCTGGAAATAATTGTAAATCCACATGGTCTGATATTGAAAAACAACTAAGCACAAGAACTTCGACTTTGATGCCCTACTAGATATTTTTTCCATAGATTCACACATCATCAAAAAGCTTAATTTCATTGTTTTCATATGTACCAATACCACAGTAAAAAAAGTAACATCTGTTGGGGATACTTTTCAGTCTAAATCAACATAATATATGAAAGTTCATAAATACACGAAAGAAAATACAGTGACCAAAATTAAAACTATCACTTAAAAGATGCATTATCACACGAAATAAAAACTATCAAAAGACTCGATCCCAAAAATTCAAGAGGACTTTTCAGTCTAAAATTATTTCAAGTATTCAACAGTTTCAGTCTTAGCCATTTTCTGGGCTTACAATCTTTTCATCAATACAATTTTTCGGAAATACTATTACTTAGATGTATTTATACAATACGCAGATTTGTACTGTTGTTTCAGAAACTAATCTGCAATAATATTCGGATAGAATTATTATATTGTAAAAGTTTGTAATCCCATATCCACCTTGATCCCATAGATTTATCCACTCCACTCGGCCGACCGGCACATATCTTCCAGTAGTTTGTCGAATTCCAGTACGGAACTCTCATATACCTCAAGATCTTTAGATAGATCCTCGTTCATAAGTTCTATCTCTTCTTTTAGCGATTCACTGTCTTTAGACTTTTGAATCAATTCCTCAGAGAGCTTCAAGTGAGGTGCGTTAAAGAAGTCTTTGTAGAACTCTGCTAGTTCTCTTATAGGATGGTGGTCAGCAAATGGGAAATAGAGAAGTTTCAAGGGCGGTTCATTCTCGCTTCTGAACCCTGAAAATTTTTTTGGTGGTGACTCGTATGAGGTTGGACTCTTAGAGATTACGTCGACATCTAAGTCTTGTGTACTCTTCGACTCCGCATCGTTGTCTTTGGTTTGAAATTTTTGTCTGAAGTGTGTATTGAATTTCGGTATAGGTATTTTTAACAGGAATTCCTCGAATGCTCGTTGCACAAGAGCTTCGTCTACAAATGCGGCAAAACGTAAAGGTTTGTTTAAGTCTATCGGCTTCAGAGGTTTATATTCCTTTTCTCTTTGATCTTTCGGTTTTTTCGAATCAAAAATCACATGTTTTGGACTTAATTCAAAATGATCGCTTTTTAGTATCAAATCTTTGTTCTTTTCGGATCTGTTTGGTGATATGGAGAAATTTGTACGATATTGGACAGAGAAACAAATTCCACCTAAAGGTGTTTTTAGTGAACCAGCTTGAATTTTTTTAACATTCTCTCCCAAAGCTTTTATTTTGGGTTCACCGTTGTAAACCCTGTAGAATATAGTAAAAGATTCTGTTCGCTGTTTGCGGGACAGATGATATGCCGGTGTTATTCTGGTGATTGTTATTAAGGATTTTAATAGTATTCCCATTCTGAAGTATACTGTATTCATTGCCTTCAAAGAAGTATCGAATTGCGTATCGTCTAATTCTAATGTCCACAGTTCTAATACCATTTCATCACCGTCTTCAGTTTGTACTGATATTTCGACGTGTAATTGAGATCTAATTGTTTCCAAAACTCTGTCAGATGGCAGAGCATTCTTTGTAGCCTGATTGACTTCTGGTGAATCTGGTATTTGTAAGTTGAACCAGTCCGAATCATTGGACACTGGTTTGCTGTACGGTTCTATCTTGACTCCTTTTCTAGATTCTACGATCACTTGTACTCCTTTATACGCTAAAAACTTTGTGAATTTGGTGAATTCATTCTTGTCACTGATATTACTGAATGCGACATCAGGTGCCATGATTACTTATAAGATATAACACAAATATTTACATTTAAATTCAAGTTTGTTCGTGAGTTGCGATATATTGGTATTAGTCTATTCTTCATCAGCAATACAGTTCTCCACGAGGTTTCTCAGGTTGGGATTCTCCATCGCGGCTGCAATCCGCTCTTTGTCGTTGATCTGTTTATTAACTGCAATAAAAAAATCACATCATTACATTTATTTCAATACCGTTCTATCTGCTAGAACTTCAGTGGACTTTTTCTAAAGTAACTTTTGAATCGACTTTAAAGATTCTTCAGTCTCAAGTAATTGCCCGAGATAGGATGAGGAGAGACTGATTTTTAAGTGTTATTCTATTAAATACCTTTATTTCAATATAGCATTGTGAATTTAAATTATCAAATATAAGAAAATACTTTTGCTTCTTATTTGATAACTAGGAACATCTAAACGCGAGATAGCGAGTTTACTTAAGTTGAAATGAAAAGGGGTCTGATAATGCAGTAGCAACTTGTTAAAAATTAAATAGGTACCTATAAGTATTAAACAAATCTTGTCGTTGTGCACGTTAAAGAACCAGTACTCGCAATTGTCCTGATCAGTTTCATTTTATGACTTCATTGTTTATTCATTATGTGGACACAACATGCAAGTAACGTGTTGTTATTTAAGTGCGTATTATTTATAGAGATCAAGTTTGTCAGCAAACTCGTTACAAGATATGAAGACTGCGTATAAATGCATAGAGAAAACGAGACGAAATCAACAACTTAATAAGATAAATAGAGACAGACGACGGCGTAATGCGCCAAATAGAGCGTCAAAAACTTGTTTCGATTACCGGTAAGATCATTACGGTTATAGTGACAATTAAATTTATCAATTTTGCAATATGTAGAAAGAGAAGTATAAATTCGTGAACAAATAATTGAATTGAATTTTAGAGGTAACTTCAGTTTTTTCTTATTGAGATTTAGTAAGTTCATGTTTTAGTCGAATGAAACGCATACAATACAATACATTTCTCTTCAATTTAAATAGTTTTCTTGTTATCAAGTAGGATATAAATGGGTATTGTACCTAATTTGATTCATAATTTATTTGAAATTAGCAATTTTCTCATAGGCTAGGTCTGATGGATTACGTGGCCGTGTAGCTCACTGGGTTCAAGGTGTCGCCATCTCTGAGATCCCGGGTATGATTCCAGGTCAGGTCAATGTAGAAGACGAATTTTCTATATATATTTTCGAGTTTGGGTTTTGTGATACCTTCGTTGTTTCAAATTTCCATAATAGAAGTGCTCTAGCTACTTCATTTGGCATCTTAGGAATGTATGTGATGTATCACAGAACACTCTTTCTATCAATTATTGAAGAAGATTGACTTTAGTACTTTTCTGAATTTAATCTCCAATTCAAAATGCAATTTTGATTGATCTTATGTTAAAAAGCACAACTTAAAATGTTTTTACGCAGTCGGGTTTTTTGTTTTTCTTTAAATTTTTATTTTTATTTTATACTTTTTAGTTACGATTCGTTGACTTCGTTATAAGATGGTAAATTTCGCAATCTAGTCATTTCATTGAGAGAGTTAATATCGTTGGTTAAACAACTTTAAATCGATATATATCCTAAACTATTATTTAAAATGATAAAAGGAACCTAAAGATGATTATCAATACCTATTCAACGACACCCCACTTGACATAGTTTATAATTTTTTTTTTTTTCATTTTGACAATATGGCGTCTGGTTGTCTCTGTGGTGAATTTTGATTACTGTCATGTCTTAAGTGACACTCGCAGGGTTGAGACGCATCGATTGACGTAAGAATCATCAAAATCGGCCTACGCATTTGGTCTCTAGAACGCCACATAGAAACAAACATACATGCATACATAGACTGATAAACACATTACCCTCCTTTGCATCGCGCAGTCGGGTAAAAAGAGAAAGAAACAAGCCCAGTAGTTTAGAATTCTGTTAAGTAATACTAAATAACTACACAATTGAAATAGTTTTATAATCGATACACACATAAAACAAATCATAAATTATAATGCAGAACAGAACGACTCACAGTCGGGGCCCATTCAAATTTTACCAACCAAATCTTCCCAAATTACTGGGTTTGTTTCTTTTTAGTTTTTAATTAAGTAATTTTTTTCATGTATTTTTTATAATTCGGTTTTTTGTTGTTCTTTATTTTTTTTTTGTAATATCAATTTACAATGTATCGAATTTCTTCTTAGATTCCCTCATTTTGACAGTAAAAAAACAAACGAAAATCACAATTTCCTAATATAAATACAGAGTCATTTTCTTAAAAATTTAAACCTTTTAATGAATCTGAAACCAACCAGATACAAATGGTATAGCCACAAAAATTGTTTTACAAGTTTATGCATACTATATGCAAAAATACTTTTTCCCCAACCTAATATAATGAGTTCCAGTGTATGTACGAGTAATATTTATATTTAATTAATAGTTTACTAACTATACTCATCTAAATTTCGATTACGTTTTAAAATAAGTCAAAACTGTAGTAGACAACAGCTATAATCACTCAGTCGAGTTGCCCGTTGCCCGCACCACGACCGTCCAGAACAATCCATTAAAATTAATACAAACTATCAAGTCATGCGAACCGCGCGTTGCCCGCGGCCGCCAACGCCACCGCGCCCGCGGATGTCCAGTTTATGGCCTTAAAGTCGTCATTGAACCTTAATTTATATAAATGGGCGTAAATATAAATGCCGAGAACAAAAGCCCTGAAATCTTTGGGAAGCCCTAAAAGAAACTGAATATGGCGTACTGTGCAAAATATGGTCAAAAACTATTTATAATTAATTACCTAAAATGAAGTTGTACCTCATAGTTTGATGATACAAGTAGTTATTCAAAATCCCTTGAAATAAAATTCATTATCTACAACTAAAATCAGTAAAATCGGACCAGCCATTCTCGAGTATTAGGAGACAAACCACCTATAATTTAATTAATTTAACTTAATAATATATAAAGATTGAAAGTAGGTTCAGTCAACAGCATGTTAAATTATGTAAGGGCCGGTTTCACCGGTTGCTGATAAAGTCCCTAATAGTCTATCAGGAACTTATCTGCCAGATAAACTATAACTTTTGGTTTCACAGGTCTCGGATAAAAATATCTGGCAGATAAAGTGTTAGATATGTTATCAGCCGGTTCAAGTGGCTGATATAGACGTTATCTGATAGATAAAAAAAAGTTTCAAGTAGCGGGAACGTAAATAGTTTTAGTTTTAGACCATTATTGTGTGCTTTGCGTCGATTGCAGTCACGAGTGTCACAAATATTCTAAAATGGATTTATTTGAGTTTTTAGAAGACGAATAAGATGAATATTTCGAACATATTACGCGACCCGTAGAAATCGAGTAATTAACCCTAGACCTAATTATTTAGAATCACTTGACGATCAAGATTTTTAGGAATCGATTTCGGCTTACCGAACGGGCTGTTGTTTATATTTTATCGTTAATAGAAAGTGATATAAAAACTACAACGGGCTACTAAGTAAAAAATAAAGAAGCTCCGTTTCTTCTTGATTAAAATTCACACTTCTTTCACGTTTTTGTTTTTCCATTATTAATTAACAAATACGAAAAGAATACACAAAGAAAAGTTTAAAAAATGAAAAGCGTCTTCTTCTTCTTTTTTTTTAATTAATGGCTTATCTGCGCATTTCGCACAATTCTGCCAATGTCAAGTAAATAAATTAATTTTACATGAAATATGAAAATGAAATGAATGAAAGATTTTAAACACAAAATATCAACAAAGCAAAACATATGACAGTTGCGTTTCGTTTCTGTAAACACGTAGCTAAGTATACGAATATCGTATTATTTTCATTCTAGAATCATAAAATTATAATTCAAAATATGTGAAAAAAGTTTACTTAAATAATATTGAACATAAAAAAAATATATTAATTAAGTTTTAAAAATGATTTTTGATTGACGATAATTTGGGTCGTAGTATTGAAACGCAAAAAAGCGACGTTGCCGTTCCGTCAACTAATAAGTGGCCGATAACTTATCTGCCAGATAAATTATCTAGCAGTTTGATGGTGAAACAGAAAAAAGTTAACAGCAACCTTTATCCGGTAGATAGCGTTAACTATCAGATAACTATCTGAAACTTTATCAGTAACCGGTGAAACTGGCCCTTAATCTATCAAATTACACTGTGTTTTAACCTTAATGTTGTGTAGGTAAAGTTTAAAATCAAACTGGAGACATTAAACATATTGTGGTAATCTGTCAAGCCTTGTGTACATACTTGAAATTAATGACATTCTACTTTACTGTCATCGATTACATACACAGAGGTAATTAAATAATAAATTAATGTTTATGACAACATTATATTATCATCAATCCAAAGTCTCAAATTCTTTGACCATATTGATTGTGGTTCAATGAATAAAATTTTCACTGACAAAGTGTTTTAAAAAGTAGTTCATCAAAGTAAAGGTATGAAGTGATGTCACTTCCTTTCAAACATTTCTGTATATGTCAGATTAGTTGTTATTAAAAAAGTTTAAGTTTTGATTTAATTTTAAGGTAAGAAAACATGTATATTTTCATGGAATATTTTTTGTGGCTTATTGAAATTAAAATAAACACTTAAAAATAACTTTAAATTATTTTTGTACATACAAAGAAACAAGTCCAAAGAAGTTGAAATACAAAATAAAAATATTATATTACAAAGAATCCTGTCACAGTCATAATTTATAATTTTTTCTCAATAGTTAAAAGAATTGCAATATCACCCTTCAAATATGGCTTTTTTTGTTGGGAAATAAAATAATAATAATTAGACATGTGCCGAATATTTGACTGGTATTTGGTATCTTTTTACTACAGTAGAATCCCGATTATCCGAATCTCGATTATCTGGACTTCCGATTATCCGGACTCATTCATCTCAGCTTTAATTGTCAACTTAAAAAAAATCCATGAAGCAATGAGACATGTTATGAAATGTTTATACCCGTTTCCGACCGTGATCGTGATCCTCCTATTCGATTGTGTACTTTGTTTCTGCTATTCTGTAAAAATCCGAATCCGAATTCAAATTCACTCAGGTGTCCGAATTACTTGAAAAGAGGCATCCGCTCAACCTTGAATTGGTTATAACGTTTCATGGATAAGTGAAGTGAGTTATAAAATGATAAAGGAATAGAATATTTGAGACACATACGAATCAAACAATCTAATTTTGTATTTTTATACAAAAATTGAATCAATAGAATTTTTATGCCATATTATGTGAATTCGGACACATGAGTCAATTCGAATTCGGATTCTGAATTTTTACAAATTGCTCTCCAGCTCTCATTTATTTGCCATATTGTGATTGTATTATTTAATTTTTTCAATTGCGTTTAAGTGATTAAGTAAAATGATTACCTTTTCAACACAAATGTATACTATCTCATGCAAAAGCTTTTGAAGCTCTTGATGTTACTTTGAAAGATATTACAACTGATGTTCAACTGAAGCACATCAGGGATGTCATTTATTACATCAAAGGAAAGATTAATGACATGTTATTTCCAATTATTATATTTGATTAATTTCGCCTTCACAATGCTATAGTGAAACATATTCAAAATTGTAACATTACATAGGTATTTATTTAATTCAATATCAATATAGCTTGGTTTTTTTATATATTGCATCATCTAAGCAACATGAATGAAAACCCATATCATAATAAAAATTGGTTAAGTTTCTAAATTTGTTTAATTTACTTTGAAATCGAATTTGAATTTGAATAAGGACGCATTTCTCTCTTCAACCTTTTTATACTTAAAAATTACAATAGATATTAAATCTAATAAATAATGAAATAATGAAATCAAGTTTTTCTTATAATATCAATATCCAGTCTATTAGACTGCTTAAAAATAACTGATCTGCCATCTTGGTTGGTCCACCATGTTGGATTTAGAATAAAGTTATTTTATGAGCTATCAATCCCATTTTGCATTTTACTAATATATGTAAAAGGTAACATACAAACAATAACTCATTATTCTTATTATTGATTACCCAGGAACATGATATTATTATGCCAAAATGGCAAAGTGTATAAACAATGAATGTATTTATTTACTATTCCTCTAGATATTAAAGCATTATATGTAGTCATTATTTTTCTGAAATTAACTATTGTTATTCCAGCTAAGATGATAAAATTGTTACTTTGCCACACACAATGCAAAGAGGTAGTAATTTAAAAATAATTAAGTCATAGCTAACAAAGAGAAAACTATAGTGTCAGGAAATAGTAATTTCTATAATATTTTACAACATGAAACATATTATCTAAACTTCAGGTTTTATTGCAAATGTACATTTAACACCTTCATTGTGTCAATAGTGCATATTTTACTAGTGGAATAAATGTGCTTATTACTTACTTTCATCTTCTGTTGTGTGAGCTCCTTTTTTAATGTAGATGTCCAGTTTAATTGGGTGATGGATGGAACGCTGTATTTTTATACGTATGCACAGTCCTATAAGCGTCGCCAGCGAACAATGAGGCACTGTCGGATTATACTCAACTCTTAACACAGGAACCTTATCAGCTGTTGGCTCCTTCACAAATATACCTTCTTCGTAAACGACCTTCAAATCTTCTAGCGTACTCGGCTTTTCTGGATCTCGTATGGTCCGCAAAAAGTCTAAAACACCACAACACCTGTTACAATCACAATAAATGTCAAATAAAACTTTTAAAAACCACACAAATTATATTGAAACAAACCGTAGATAGTTTCTCTTAGGTCATTCTCGTCTTTATAGCCCAATTCTTGTAATGTTGCACTTTTGTCCATATAAGCTGGCTGAGCAACTTCCACGGGTGACTTTGGCGAGTTATTTAAAGAAAGTTTCGAGAAAAACGATATCATATCGTTGGAATAAACTTTGATCAAAATAAATCACCCGACTACGACAGTACTAGGCAGCCATATTTGTTTTGTACGTAGTATCTCCTTACTAATCTGTGTTTTGTACATTTGACATACTCTTTGGTCTATGCTAGGAACAATTTATACAAGGTGCTTTATAAAATCTATGGTATAAAAGTCTGATTATATTTTAGTCTGACTTCTGAAAGCATGATTTTTCTGTTTTTTTTTCTAACTGTACAGTCAACAGCACTTTAGACTTTACAAAACTGTCAAACCCCATTAGATTTTCTATTGCATTGAAGTGTGGAGTAGGTAATAATAGATGAGGGGCGTGAAGCACATTAGGTAAAAAAGAAGAAAACTAAAAATGAATTTTAACAATCTATTTTTTTTTCTATTATATTTTTTTCTATTTCTATTATAAATATAGGTTTTACTTTTCTTGTACATCGTCTATTTATGGGAAATAAATTAATTGTTAGCTAGTAACACCACTGTTTTTCTAAAGATACAATTTTACTCGTTATTGCGGAGTTTTAGCGACGATCGCAAAGACCGGTAATCAGATGGGTGATCCATTTTTCTCTGTTGACTGAGCGGGACAGGCTTTTCCAGAAATGTTTTTTATTATTTTTTATTATTAATGGATGAATCCAAAATACCCAGAATATATGTGCTGTATTATTGTAAGACCCAAAAAATCACATACCCACTGTACGAGTTAACATAAATCTGGCTCGACGTTCGCCGTCGACATGTAAGTTCAGTAGCGATAGTATAATAATTTTACTTGTCTTGAGATTTTAAAATTTAAAGTTATAACGTTTTAAAGCAATTCGTTTCGAACGGACGTTTCTTGTTGCTTGTTGAATTTTGGATTTTTGGATTTTGTTTATGATATTCATTTAAATTTTGTTTCTGACGTAATGAAAGTAAATTGGGTATCGAAAATTAATAAATATAACATCGTTTTGTGTTTCTTATAATATCAAACTTTCAAATTAATTTTAATTTATTTTAATCGTAAGTTTAAGTTGTTTATAACATAGTGATGAGCCAACTTATTGGTTGCTCGTAACTTTCATCCGAATCCAGGTTTGGAATGAAGAACAAAAGGCGGAGAGCAGAATTCAGCTTGTATCTGTATGTGTCATTATCAGTGGTTGGAATTAGGTAGAGTTATTCATGTACTAATTAAGTGGATATGCCTCAAATCCCGAGATTAATTTTAAAGAGCAGAAAAAATCCCGTGATTTTTTAAATAAAAAGTTATTTCCTTTTACACAATTGAAACTACTGCACGCACGACGTTGCCAAACTTACAGCAATGAAAGAAAGAAAGAAGAAGTAAAGAAATCCCGGGAAGGTCCACATTAATATCAACATTTCGATGCAAGTACATATATAACTCTACCTAATTCCGACCTCTGGTCATTATGCATCCACAAAACGAATGATATTAATATAAATATCAAAATCAATTCAGTCTAGGCTGTTACATAGTACTTGTGAAAGTCGAAAACTTTGTCAATGGTTCGCAAAACTAAGGCGGGAAATCTTGTACTGATAAGAATCGGAAAGAAACTCAGTAAGGGCTGCTTTTTTAAATTCAATTATACTACTCAACTATACTATATTTGAGGGAACGTAACCATCTAACGTCGATTGTCGATCACTACGTGTACCTTGGACAGACAATCCAGTTAGGTAGATCCAATTTCGACAAAGAGGTCGCTCGAAGAATCCAACTCGGCTGGGCAGCGTTCGGGAAGCTACGCGATATCTTCACGTCCAAATTACCACAGTGCCTAAAGACGAAGGTGTATAACCAGTGTGTGTTGCCAGTGATGACCTATGGCACTGAAACGTGGTCCTTAACTGCTGGCCTCTTAGAGAAGCTCAGAGTCGCTCAGCGAGGCATGGAGAGAGCTATGTTAGGGGTTTCTTTGCGCGATAGGATCCGAAACGTGGATATTCGCCAAAGAACTAGAGTGACCGACATAGCTCGCAAAGTTTGTAAGCTGAAGTGGCAGTGGGCAGGCCACATCGCTCGACGAACCGATAACCGATGGGGACGAAAGGTTCTCGAGTGGAGACCACGAACCGGAAGACGCAGCGTGGGTCGACCCCCGACTAGATGGACGGACGACATCGTTCGAGTCGCGGGCGGCCACTGGATGCAGCTGGCGCAATGTCGTCCGTCGTGGCGTTCAAAGGGGGAGGCCTATGTTCAGCAGTGGACGTCTTCCGGCTGATGATGATGATGATGATGAGACCATCTAACGCATACGACACCACCGCAGATATTTTAAGAGAGCATGACTACTCTAGGTACTAAGTAAATAATATATTTCAATAAAACTGATTTCTAGAGTAGGTTGCGTCAGTCTATTATTAACAATATTATTGTAAGAACCAAAAAGCACAAACCCACCGCACGATTTAACTTAACACAAGGCTCGACGTCCGCCGTCGATATGCAAGATCAGTAGCAATAGTATAATAACTGTACGTGTCTTTGTGATTTTGAAATTTAAAGTTATAACCTTGCTGTTCGTTTAGAACAGACGTTTCTTGTTGATTACTGAATGTTTATTAAGATGATTTAATTATGAATATAAGATTTAATAACTAATCATATTTTTTTTTGTCTTTATTTTGAAAGCACAAGTTATTTGCACGTTACACTTTGCACAAACATCATTTTAGCCAGAAGTCATGTTATTTTGTACGAATACATAGTATATTTAATACATATCGGGTAATTATATAGACAATAAAGGGATTTTTATTATAATTATAGTTTTTATGACTTTTATTGCTGATTAATAAAACCTATTCATCCCTTCTCCATACATAATATAAAGATATTATTGAGACTTGATGTAGTTTGTTGTTGTATTCACTTCATGAATTGACGTTTAGATCCAAGAATTTCGCTGCCATCTAGTGACATAAATTTTTATAGTTTCTTTATTTTTTTTACATATTTCCTCATTGACGTTTAGATCCAACAACTTGTGCTGCCATCTAGTGACATAAATTTTTGTAGTTTCTTTATTTTTTTTAAATACTTCCTCATTGAATTTCAAATAGATATTAATCCGCATTATCAGATCCATAACAACACTAATAATTCTATTCTCTTTGGTCCAACGTCATGAATTGACATTTAAATCCTTCAATTTGTGCTGCCATCTAGTGACCTAAAATTTTATAGTTTCTTTATTTTCTTAAATAATTCCTCATTATAAATTCAATTTATAAAAATAAAATCACGGCTTGTAATATTATTGCTCTTCTTCTTCTTTTTAATTAAAGGCGTTGCCCTTGCGGATTTCGCCAGAATCCAGTTATTCGCTCAGATTACTTCATGTTTAAAAGTTTTTTTAACGAATTTTCATTTACATCTTCTTCATTAGTACTGCCTGTAGTAGTAGATCACTATGGAAAATTATAAATAAAAATGCATCGATGTTAAGTGACATACCTACTTCACAATAAACTGTCAATGTCAAACAGCAGCTTTTATTTGTTTAGCTTGGGCTTTTGGGTCGTTTGTTCATTTATTTATTATTTAGAATTGAATAAAATTAATAAAAACTCTTAATAAGACAAAAATGCAGTGGAAATAAACTTATTTAAAATCTTTTGGGTTCCCATCCACAAATAGTATTTATTCTTGCTGAGAAACATTTAACCTAAAACTGCCGACGTATTTTGCTTACAATAATGTTCTCTATTTGTCGGCAAACTCATCCAGCAACCGGCATTGAGCATGCTGTCAGCTGTTACTTCTTTAATAATGATGATGTGTGCTTGGTTACCGCTGGAGCCAATATTATCAAAGTTTTCCGATTATTACCGGAAGGACATACAAAAGAAGTTAATGCTGGTAAGATGATATTTCGTATATGTTTATTAGCAATGTGATTTGATAGTACACATTGACATATCTTACCTTTAATAAGTAGCTCTAAACCTTATCATGTTAGTCTTTCACCAAGAATGTTTGACTAAAAAAATACCAAAGCAATCTTTTAATTAATATTGTTTATTATAGCTGGTCAGCCTATACCCCCAAAGATGAAATTAGAATGCCTTGCAACCTATACACTCTGGGGTAATGTGATGTCCATGGCTGCTGTGCGTTGCTCTAGTGCTGGAAGAGATTTGCTACTGGTATCATTTAGAGAGGCTAAACTATCAGTGCTACAGTATGATCCACAGACAAATAACTTGATTACATTAAGCATGCATTACTTTGAGGAAGATGATATGAAGGTAATGTCAGTAAAGAAAATACAGTCTTTGTATGGAATATCTTTTCTATAGCATGGTGTCCCTCAATAGAAAAAAATAGATACATGGACTATTTTGCCTACTGTTAAATATTGTAAACATTTTAGATTCACCATGTTATAGTTCATCAGTGCTTAAGCATACTTGCAGAAAAATTATTATTTTTCTTCTACAGTTAATTTTCTAATAATACAAAATGTCTCTGTTTCAAATCTTAACAATCAAGGCTTGTTTATATAAATATTGTATGTTTTGTATTTAATTATCTGATCACTACATAATTGTATGCTAACCATATTCCACTTTGAGTCAAAGATGTCAATAACAGTTGATTTAATATATAAAAAACAATCAGATGCTGTTCTTAAAAAAATATTTACTATTATTGTGTGTCCAGTAATAAGAGGTCTTCATTCACCTTAGAAAAAATTAATTCCTATGCCCTGCCTAAAACTTTTGATGTGTCAAAATTTTTATTTGAATTTTATAAATAATTACTAATTTTAATACATACCTACTGTTCAATTGTATGTTTAGATTTGACATGAATAAAGAATTGTTAACATTATTATAATTGCTATTGTTTTTAGGGTGGTTGGACAACTCACCCTCATATACCATGGATTCGAGTTGATCCTGAGTGTCGATGTGCAGTAATGTTGCTTTATGGAAAGAAGCTAGCTGTTTTACCTTTTAGAAAGGATATTACTTCAGAAGAAAGTGACCCATTGGAGGCAAAGCCATTTGGTGATACTAAGAAGAGTGTAAGTTTTCAATAGTTTTATAAATATAACTTTTAATGCTTTGTAGCATATGCTATTAATTAGTAAATATTTATTAATCATTAAAACATAAGTAGAGTATTTCTTTTTTAATGGAGTAATTAATGGGTATGGTAGAAGTTGTACTATGTACTTCCCATATCAGTACTTTCTTTATTAGTGGGTATAAAACATGTTACTATATGTTATTATGTTACTAGCTTTCCAATGTTGTTATGGCATATAAATTTGGGGTGGACCACCCTTATCACCTTAAGGGGTATTAAAAAAGCAATACAAAAGCTAGATGCAATTGTAATAAAACTTCTAATTTAAACTCACTTTCACACTGCTTGGGTTACACATTTTCATGCCAGTATATCTAGACTACTACCTTACAGTAGGACTACTCAACCAGTCTTTTTTTATAAAGTTGACACAACAACCGTTTCTGGAACAGTGAAATTATTTATTATTTAGTTCTTATTTCTAAAAAATTAATTTGTTTAATTAAAAACCATATATTCTAATAACAAGTAGATTGACAATAAAAAGACAAGTACAAGGTAAAATCTCATAAAAATACATGAAGATAAAGATAATATCTTTCAAATTTATATTCTTAACAAAGCACAACACTTGGCCATCCAGTAGCAATATTACAGGATTAGAATCGTCATTTTATTAAAACTTATATATCTTTTATTTTATCATTGAATTAATTTTAATGACTTAATCAACATTAAGAGAGCCTTTTATTGATTTTTAGTCATCATCATTTGCTTACAACTTTTCCCCAATTTGGGGTCAGTGCATTATGTATTTTTGTTCAATACATTTCAATAAAAAGTATTTATGTACATTTTGTATTGGAAAATGAGAAGTCACCATTTGTTCCTTGTAGCAGTACTTGTTAGCTTATATACTTTGTAGTATTAATTTATTTGATTGTAATGTATCTTATCTATTTTCTTAGGCACCCACACAGCCTGTAGCGCGCGCTCCGACATTGGCTTCGTATGTGATAGTTCTCAAAGAATTAGATGAGAAGATTGACAATATACTAGATATACAGTTCTTACATGGATATTACGAACCAACACTATTGCTGTTGTATGAACCAGTGAGAACCTTTGCTGGGTAAGTCCATAGATTTGTTGTGTAGAGTTGATATAACTTGTCAATTGTAACATTATTAACTTGGCAATCTGTGTAATGCAGGTATTTCTTAATTTATTAATGTAAGTAAATTTTAATTTTTCTGTGCCAGGTATTATTTACAATTATAAAACAGTATAAATTTAAATTTAATAATTTATTTTTGTTACTAATTTTAGTTTTTCTGTGCTGGGTATTATTTACAATTAAATTAACAGTATAAATTATCTATTATTTTAAAGTGTGCATATTGCCTAATGCCGGCTTGCTCCAAGGATGAGCTCTATTTGAAATGATATTTATAAAACAAAAAGGCTGTTAAATGACTACAATTTTGCAAAATGGTCCTGCACTTTGAACCTCAATCTATGGATTCGTGTTTTCTACAGGGAATAACAGTAAGATCAGTCAGTATTGGAAATCTCTTCTACAATTATAAGTACATGTTGATTGATTTTAGTAAAAATAATAATGATTTACATAAATTTTAAAAAATTGGTTCTCTGTTATAAAAATCAAACTTAATACAGAATATTTTTTCAGTCGGTATTGAAAATCTAAAATTGATTGATTTTAGTGAAAAGAAAATAGGCGTAGATTAATTGGTTCTCAGTTATGTAAATAAAACTTACATTAGTTCTTTCTAATTTATTTTTCGTGACCTTTTGTAATTACTACATTTTGATAACTATCCTTTAGATAAGAGCAAATGCAATCCAAAGGAAAACCCCTAATTCCTACGGATTCAAGCCAATTTAAAAGCGTAAATCAAAAGTCTTGCTTAGATTAAAAAAGACTGTTGTTGGGCTAATTCTTTATTTATACTTTTCAATATCGATTTTACGAGTATGAAACTATTTTCATTTTCATTCTATTCAGTAATTGTGTATTTATTTTTTTGGAACCCATACTGTTCAGGTCGAATTATATTCAATTTATCACTAAAGTCCGACAATCAACTTAATATATATTTTTCAAAAATCTTTGATAGTCTTGAGACTAGTGTAATAGGACGGTAGTTCCTAACGTCAGACTTTTCCCGTTTTTCTAGAAGTGGTCAAATCATTTTTCATAGTAACATTAACTATGTTATTAAGAAAAATGGCGTCTAAAATGAAACAGGCAATGATATTACGCACCTAAACGAATTGAATGTGGTAATAAAAAAAAATTTTGTCATTTAGAAAAAAAATAATGATACGTAAAACAATGCATTTTAGCTATTAACTGCTTTATACCTGCTCACAATAATGTAAGTTTTATTTTTCAAACTGTCCAGGCTTAATTCCTATACTAAGAACAAATTTTTACTTTTTTACTACTAAGAACTTATTTTAAATGTATGTTTTTAAATTCAATGATATTCCTAACATCTTCATACGTCTTATAGTTTGAGACTTTCGAATACTGAACGTTCTTAATGTAATACCTTTTTTTATGCGTCAGGGAACTGCTTTAACCACAGTCCCTGCCGCCTGGCGCGCTACATTGGGGGAGGAGGGGAGGGTACCCTCTGCTGGGGACTTAATATTACAACCTTTACATTTAAATGATAATATGTTATGTTATGTTGTTATGTTATGTTGTGCGGCGGGCTTTTCCGCAACTCGACACCTTGTGCCTATTTTGCGTGAATGATGGGGTTGCATCAGTCCTGCCACCCCAGCTCCTCCAGGAAGCCCATGAGTCCTTTAACTTTGCCGCAAGCCTCCTTTAATGTCTGTGGGCTACCCAGATGTGTAGTCCTATGTCCTGAAACGCCCCTGCATTCCAGTAGTACGTGAGCGCTTATCTCTTCAGCGTCCAGGCATGCCCTGCACAGAGAACTGTCAGAGATACCCATGTTATATAAGTGTTTGTTAAAATAGCCATGACCAGTTAGTATACCTACTATTAGTCTCAACGTTTGTCTAGGTAGTTTGATTAACTTACGTGCCAGTTGCAGGTCTACCTTGGGGATTGCTTCTTTGGCTTGCCTGCAGTCAGTCGTTTGAGTCCAGTATTCGTCGTGTTGTCTGTGACAGCGTTCTCTTACCCAGTTTCTCAGCTGTCGAAATGGAATGGGTATAATGGGTTCCGGTCCAATGGGCTTTCTGCTTGACCCTTCTCTGGCCAAGCTGTCTGCCGCGTCATTTCCTCTTGACCCGCTGTGCCCCTTAATCCATTGTAAGGTCAGTTTATTTCTTATGCATACCTCTGTCAACTTACAGTGACATTCGTGCAGTAGACCTGATGTCATCATATTGTTATTTAAAGCTTGTAATACCGATGCGCTATCAGAGAGAATACGTATATTTTTACCTTTTACTCTCCGGATTATAATTGCCTCAGCAGCCATTAATATACCCACGCATTCAGCCTGGAATATTGTGTTGTAGATTCCCAGTGCCGTGGATATGTGGATATTTAGATCCTCCGAGAAGACACCAGCACCAGTACCTATGTCAGTTTTAGAGCCGTCCGTAAAGATCCTTAGCTCTTTGTGAAGGCAGAGATCTGGTGTGTCTTCGTAGAGTTGTATTTTGTATTTCTTGTCAAAAACATACCTCCTGGGAGTTAAGTCATTGGTGGCCATGAAGAAGGGGTATTCCTTATTAATGTCTTTTAAGATGTTAGTGTGCGGGATACTAATATCCCTCCATAGTCCCAGCATTTTTAGCCGTGTGGCTGCACACATGGCTTCTTGTTGTATAAAGTGATGTAGTGGTCTTATGTTGAGTATCGTCTCTAGCGCTGCTGTTGGGGTTGTTCTCATGCAGCCAGTGATTGCACAGCAGGCACGTCTTTGGAGACATTTAAGTTTGTTTATAGTTGTTGCCTGTGTAGTCTTTGTCCACCATACAATTGCGCCGTAGCTTATGATGGGTCTAATAATTGTCTCATATAGCCATTTTGTGATATGTGGAGTTAGTCCCCATTTCTTACCGATCATCCTGCGGCATTGCCAGAAGATGATGTTGGCTTTTGTGATGGATTTGTCTATTTGTGTACTCCAGTTCAGTTTGGCATCCAGTGTGACACCTAGGTACTTTACTTCGTTGGAGAGATTCAATGTCGTGCCAAATAATTTTGGAAGTTTGTATTCGCCTAGTACCCTTTTGTTAGTAAACATTACCATTTCTGTTTTTGCAGGGTTTACCTTTAGTCCATAGTCGTTGCACCACTTTTCCACAACTTTCAGTGCAGTTCGTGTGACGTCGCACAGTGTGTTCGCAAATTTGCCCGAGATTGTTATTACTAAGTCATCTGCATATCCTATCGTTTGGAATCGACGGTTGTTTAAGTTGGCGATCAATTCGTTGACCACCACATTCCACAGAAGTGGCGATAGTACTCCCCCCTGTGGGCATCCTTTAGTCGCTATTGCTTTGATCTTGTTGTCGCCTTGCAGTGTTGCAAAATGATAATATGTGTAAAATAACTAATATACCTAATATTTGTAGACGAACGGCAGTACGTAATGACACATGCGCAATGGCTGGTGTGAGCTTGAATATGAGCGCGAGAGTGCATCCTGTGATCTGGGCCACAGGTGGATTACCGTTCGACTGTCTACAAGCAGTTCCCGTGCAGAAACCACTTGGTTAGTAGTAATAATAAACTATTGTATAACATAAAAACAGATAAAAAACTCAAATATAGTGAAGCGAATAGCGGCCTTATCGCTCAAAAGCGAAGACATGAAGACATGCCCTAAGTAATAGCTAATTTTGTATATGGGCTAATCTGGTTTGCTTCGAGTTGGCCGCTCTCACTCTTTCCGCTTTACCGCACTGCACGTTCAAGCAGACCTACCGCTAGCAACGACATCATGTACGTCTGCCCTTACCGGTCGCTATTATCGCTTTTGTATTATTTATGAACCATTTTTTTCTTTCTTGTGTGATATCTTACATGTAACGGATATTAACTCACAAGTACTCTTTAACTGATAGAATGTAGCCGAGTAAAAATTAAATTATTAATAATACTTGCAACTGTTTATTTTAACATAAAAAAGTCATAAAACAAATATCTCGAAAAATAAATATGTTTTCTTGCCTTAAAATGAAATCAAAATTTAAACTTTTTTATACCCACGAAAATGCTGTCCGTCATATTCATGACGTCACTGTGATATGTACACAAAACAGATGCATAAAGTAGAAGATTAAAACATGTCAATAAATAGGAACGCTAACAAATAAAAAGATGTAAATAAGCTAAAAACAGCACCATCTAGGAATTTTGATTTATAATTGATATATATCGCACACCTAGATCTAAACTAAGACAACTCAAAAAGCTAATTTGGAGGTTTGACAATACATTTGTTTACGTGGCAGGAACGCGACCACTGTTGATTCCGCAAAAGAAAGCTAAAGTTATCTAGCGGCTCATCCCCGAACCTTTATTGAATCTGTTATGTTGGACAGATGCGTATGATCACCGAGTATTTGAATATTGTACTAAGTCAAAACTCACTTAAATTTTTGAGTTGTCTCAGTTTAGATCTAGGTGTGCGATATATCAAATTCCTAGATATCCTTATGACTAATCTGACAGTTGTCATCACAGTGACGTCACACAATGGCGGAACGTCTCTATGTTTATAACTATGTAAATTTTAGTTTTTGTGCAATTTTGAGACTTATTTTTCACTACCGAAATTACAGTATTGAAAATCAAAATTTTTAATAATCAAATTTAAATTCGTAATTTAATATTTTTCAGATTTTATATCAATAAACCTTTGTGATTATAACATATCAAATAACAACTTATTTTCGTAAGCCTATTTTATAGAACAGGTGGTTAATTTGTTATGTATATTATTTCAGGTGGCTGTTTAATAATGGCGGTTAACTCCCTGATTTATCTTAATCAATCTGTGCCGCCTTATGGCGTCTCACTAAACAGTATTGCGACTCACACTACAAATTTTCCTTTGCGTAAGTATCAAATTATGAAGTATCTTCGTATCTATGCTTCGTTTGGTATATTTTATTATCTACACTAATTATATAGTGGAAAGATTTGTTTGTTACTATAAATTGCACAGGCAATACCATTGAACCGATTTTGAAAATTCTTTTATGTCGAGGCTACATTATACGTTGATGATATCTATATTAATATTACAAAGAGGAAAGATTTGATTGTTTGTTTGTTTGTTACGAATAGGCTCCGAAACTGCTTTCACCTACTGGAAGTTACATCATATGCGGCGAATATAGGCTATATTTTATCGCAAATAAAGGGATGAAAATGGTAGTGGAACTTTGTATGTTTGTATGGGGAATTGAAACATTACCACAGTAACCATTGTTTACTATTCAATTTGCCATTGTAATTATATCCGTGTCGTGATATGAATCGATATCTACAAACACGCGGGCGAAGCCGCTGGCGGAAAGCTTGTAGGGCATAATTTATTATAATACTGTAAATAGAATCTGTCTAATGAAAGCTGAAGCGGTGATTTATAGCGTTGATATTTTCTTGAAGTCAAACTCGACGGCGCAAATCTATTTGATTGTCAGACTTCAAAAATAGAGTAATAATGATATATATATATATTTTTATTAAAACAAATAAATAAAAAGAGTACCTGTATGTATGTAATTTTGTTAGGATGGCGCAATATTCATATTCATATGGGCTTCTAAACACGCGGTCAACCTCGTGAACGCAAATTATTCTAACGAGCGCAAATTCAAAGCCCCACAAAATTTTTATTTATGTAAATGTTTAAGAATTTTTTCACAGTATTTAAAGATTATGCTTATTCTTTAAATAGAAAAATAGAATTTTTTTTCATTACCATCTTATTTATAAATCGAAGACCAAATTTAGTATTTGGTCTAAACCATTGACCGCAATTTGACAATTAAAGAAGAGAAAATGTCAAAGTGAAACGTGTTGACTTAATTTGGTCGGATAATTGGCGAGTGTATTGGCTGAATCTTAACTGTTTAGGTTTTCTGCGCAGGAATACAGGAGGGAGTGTGTATAACGTTAGATGGCGCTTGCGTCGCCGCTCTGGGTGCGGGTAGATTAGCTTTGTCGCTGAAAGGCGGTCAGTTGTATGTGCTGACCCTACTCTCTGATTCTGTGAGGAGTGTGAGAAGTTTCCATCTCGACAGAGCTGCTGCTTCTGTGCTCACTACTACGGTGAGTTTTATTGTAATTAGTAGTCGGAATATGTGATGTTATTTGTTAGCTATTTCAATATTATATACAGCCGGCATTTAAAATGACTCTCCAAATTTTTTCTAGACATTAGGTATCGTTAATAGATCACATATATGAAAAAAAAACGGTATGTAAAATTTTCAAAATGAAATGTAAACTTGTTGCAATTACAAGATAATTATAACATTCGCATTGTCACATTAGTTATGAATAAAACAAGGCAGCAGAGGTAGCAAGGGCGCGGGCGCAGGGGATGTACGCGCATGCGCCAACAAACAATGTCTGCTCGGTTTTTTATTTTGTCGGCGCACATCAGTCAGTCGCCCGCACTCAACCCCTTTGAACGCATGCGCTTCCACCTTTGCTTCCGTGTTGCGCACCGCCCGTCGCAGCGCCACATTTCGCGCGTCGTAATGTATTCCAATCGCGAATATTATGAAATGGTGCAGTGTTACATACATGGTGATCAACGTGACGCGGAGGCCCCATCGTGGGGCCTGCGCGATCGCCGGACCTACCACAGTGTGACTTTTATTTGTGGGGCGAAATTAAAAGACGTGTGTATGTTGAGGAAGCACAAAGCCTCGAGGACTTAAAAGTGCAAATCAGAGCGGCATTTTACCAAGTGAAAAATGACACGGTAATGCTCGCAAAATTAAAAGACAATGTGCAGAAAAGGTGCAAGACTCTGTTTGGAGAGGAACGGTATGTACTTTGAACAATTATTAAAGTATACGTAGGTAAATAGTTAAAGTAGGTAGGTAAATTGATTAGTTGATTATGTACATAAAGTTGATGATTTTTTAAATACGCCTGATTGCAAAAGAATAGCGAGTTAAGTACCTACTTTGAATTGGTTTAACTAAACAGAATTTAAGGTAACTCGATATTTACTTACCTACTTACTTTATAAATTTAAAGCAGTATAGCTATTGTAATAGTAGGTATCTAATAGGATTTATGCAATTTGACGGTCCTAAGCCCGTAAAAGTATGAAGAGGTTTCAATTTTATTTATCATTTCCCCAAGCATGACAAAACGAAAACATTTTAGGTAGCTGCTATTATTACTATAAGGGGAGGGGAGGGGCAAGTGTAACGTAGCGCGTAAAGCGCATGTACTGGGCAGCGAGAGCGTCCACAAATGTAGGTTTTTTGAAAATAACTTGGTGACGATATAACTCAACATTTTTGTTCTAAACGACATAAAAAGAAAAAACACGTATTTCATTATTTGTCGTAAAGATTAACATACTCAAATTTGGAGAGTGGTTTTAATTGCTTGCTGTATAACGAAAATAATGAAAGTTGTTTTTGAAAAAAATAAGTATTCACTGGCAAAAAAAATAAAATCTCTATTAAACAACGACAGAAATGTAACCACTATGGACATCATAATTTAGCCAACAGTAAGCGTCATTGGTTGTTAACGGTTTTCTTAACCAACTCTAAAAGTATGTTATGGGTGATGCACACATCATTAACTGATAACTTTTATTACCAGATGTGTGTTGTAGAAGAGGACTTTCTGTTCCTCGGTTCGCGTCTCGGCAACTCGCTTTTACTCCGTGTGACGGAAAGAGAGAACCGAATGTTGTTCTCTGTCGAGAAACCTCTGGAGGCAACCGTAGATCTGACTGTATCTGACGCTGGTAAGTACAGTGATATAATATTTCTCATCTTAAGACAAAATTTCACAAGTCCAGTTTTTGTTTAAGTAGAAAACAAAACGTGAATAATAATAATGAACTTCAAAATCACCATTTTAAGTAAATTATTTTGAAGTTTTTTCATGAAAATTCATTCTTAATGTTATACTTATATTTATTAAATGTGATCAATTTGGCATTCAGAATGCTTTACAAAGAAATATTATTAATGAATAATGCTTAAAATCCCCTTCGTCTTTGGCACTCTTGAGATGTGGCTCGAACAGGACTGACGAATTTTTCAAGCACTTGTTACTTTTTCGCTACTATAGAGTGTATTTTCATCAATGTTCAGACGCATTATCTGACCCAAATACCCTAATATATTGTGAAGATATTTTCACAAAATATTTAGTCTTTCGATAAAGATGAAAATTTGTTCTAATATTTGATATTTGATCAATTTTGCATTCACAATTCTATACTGAAAAATATTCTTAATGAATATGTTTGTATTTTTTTATATGGTTCTTTTGACGTTTCATTTTTCATCAATCAAAATTTAGGTTAGATCAGTTTTCCTGATCTGAATATCACTTCTTTAAATGTAATGTTTTGAAAAATCGAAAATGGTAAAGATTGTTCGGTAAATTAAGTAAAATTTTTGTGATGTTCTTTATCAGATATTAAAAAAAATATATATATAAATTTGTCCTCATAGAAAGGGAAAAAGAAAGAGAGAAAGAAAAACAGGCGGCGGCCAACAAAGAAGCTCAACAGAAAGAGGACCCAGCCGCTAAGAAACGTCGCATGGACACTATAAGTGATTGTTTCGCTACTAACGTCATCGAGATAAGTGATAAAGATGAACTTGAGGTATATGGATCAGACATAAGGACCTCTACCCAGCTTACTAGTTATGTATTTGAGGTGAGCTTAATTTGATTTTAAATATATATAATTCCTATTTGGTGAATTACCCTTTAATTGCTAGCAACACCATCTGGTAATTTATTTGACATATAAACTGCATAGCGAATTAATATTTTGTTTTTAAATAAAAAATATTCCATAGTTTTTAAATACAAAATGAAGCTAAGGTTTGTAGCATTTTGATATGTTTTACCGCTAGTGAAATGAACTTCGCGTGGTCATACAATTAACATTTAATTTTGTTAAATTATATCTATATCCGTACCCGTAATGAGTGATCTTGAGAAGTAAATAAGTCTTTTACTTCAATATTTGGTATGTTAGATTTTATTACCGTTATAATATTGAATTACAATTTTTAAATCCATTTTTAAGGTTTGCGACTCTCTTCTCAACATTTGCCCTATCGGGGATGTTTCTATGGGTGAACCCCAACTACAAGTCGGTGGCCGAGAACCAAGAGAACATATAGAGTTAGTAGCGTGTAGTGGCCGCGGTAAGAACGGTGCACTCGCTGTACTGCAGAGGGCGTTGCGGCCGCATCTCGTTACTGCCTTCAGTTTGCCGGGTGAGTGAACGAAGTATATAGTGTAAGTAGTGTGAAATGACTGAGAAAGATACAGTGTATTTGCTGTACTGCAACGGGCGCTGCGTTAGTTTATTGTTACTTTAGTTTACCGGGTGAGTAGAGATTGTAATAGGTATAGTGTAAGTAGTGTCTCGTGGCTGCGGTAAAAACGGCGCACTCACTGTACTACTAAGGGCGCTGCGTTCGCATATTGTTTCTGTCTTCAGTTTGCCAGGTAAGTGGAGATTGTAATAAGTATAGTAGTGTCTCGTGACTGCGGTAAAAACAGTGCACTTATTGTACTACTGAGGGCGCTGCGTTCGCATATTGTTACTGTCTTCAGATTGCCAGGTGAGTAGTGATTGCAATAAGTATAGTAGTGTCTCGTGGCTGCGGGGAAACGGCGCACTCACTGTACTACTGAGGGCGCTGCGTTCGCATATTGTTACTGTCTTCAGTTTCCCAGGTGAGTGGAGATTGCAATAAGTATAGTAGTGTCTCGTGGCTGCGGGGAAACGGCGCACTCACTGTACTACTGAGGGCGCTGCGTTCGCATATTGTTACTGTCTTCAGTTTGCCAGGTGAGTGGAGATTGCAAAAAGAACAGTAGTGTCTCGTGGCTGCGGTAAAAACAGTGCACTTATTGTACTACTGAGGGCGCTGCGTTCGCATATTGTTACTGTCTTCAGTTTGCCAAGTGAGTAGAGATTGCAATAAGTATAGTAGTGTCTCGTGGCTGCGGGGAAAAACAGTGTACTCACAGTATTGCAGTATTGCAAAGGGCGTTGTGGCCGCATCTCATTATTGCCTTCATTTTGCTGGGTGAGTTGAGATTGCAGGAAATATAGTGTAAAGAGTTAGTAGCGTGTAATAACCGCGGTGAGAACAGCGCACTCGTTCTACTGTAGAGGGCGTTGCGGCCGCATTTCGTTGTCGCCTTCAGTTTTCATGGTGCGTGATGAGTACCAAAGGTAGTTTTTGAACTGGTTGTTAAATATGGACCCGTTGTCTGTACTGGAGAGTGCACTGGTATTTATTGTACACAAACATAATATTGCTTATAATTTAACAGTTAAAAATCTTAATTGAAAATACTTAAAACTTTTTTTATGAGGCTGGAATCCCAAAGGTTCATTCACAATAATAAAACATACAATTCATATACTTCAAATTGAATAAACCCCTATCATAGAAATGTGTTTAATTGACACTTATTTTAAGAGCAAAATTTTTCACATGTTATTCTAATGTAACCATTACATACAAGTTGGTAAATGATTTGAGATTGATATTTGTTTTATTGTAACAGGCTGTATAGATATGTGGACGGTAATGGCGGAGCCAGCTTCGGCTGAGACCCCAAAAGAGGTACATAAAGATGCAGAGGGTAGTCACGCATACCTAATATTGACACAAGAAGACTCCAGTATGGTGAGTGCTGTAGAATAACCAATGAATACGGTTCTTTGTGGATGACATCATTCCGCTTTACAATTGAAAATGTAGTTAGACAGGAAGCATTTAAAAATAGACTATTTAAATATATCACACTAGAGGGCCGTATTATGTTTATAACATAAAAATAATACTCGACGACTTCCGTAGACGAGTGGTTAGCACGGTCCCCGGTGTGTGGTTCCCGGTCGGGTCTATGTAGAAAATGCACTTTTCTCTATTGTCTCGGGTCTGGGTGTTATGGTACCTTCGTTGTTTCAGATACTCCATTATCCATCCACGAGGGCTTAAGATACTCATCTTGGAAACTGAGCAATGTGTGTGATGTTGTTTAATATTTATTATTAAACATACATTAGTTAATTTTTGGTATGAAACAATGTACCAAAGACAATAAAATTCGTTCTTTTACATGTAACATAATAAAAAACTTAAGTTAGCATTTCAAAACAAAATCGTTGTTGAAAAGAAACACGAGGAACTAAAAATAGACCACGATTCATTTATAAATTTTTTAAACTCAGTTTATTTATACAAAGTATGTATATTTTGTTCTGTTTATTAAAAGTCAACAGCTCTTTTAAATTTATATACACATTTGACTTAAAACGTAACCTACAGCCAATTATGGATTTACATTTTTCATTATAAGCATAAAACGACAGTCGAAGATCATAACAAAATTTACGTGAAAAAATGCCTTAAGGAGCAAATTGACCATTATTTTAAGGAAAAAAAAAAAAACAATAATTAAAAGGAAGAAAGAAAAAAAAACAATAATTAAGAGAATTATGTAGTAAAATTCATCGGCTTACAGATTTTACAGTAAAACTTCTCGCTTAAAACATGATCTGTTGATATCTGGTTTCATTTCCAGAACAATTTTTTCTTTAAATACTTCTTGTCCAACTCGAGAGTTCTTTCGGTGTAATGATTTATTACAATAAGCCGCGATATGTACTTAGATCCTGCAAACTGGCCAAGAAATCAATGAAGTTGATAGTTCTGGATTTATGACGGGCGCGTCCACAGTGTTCGCGGGCAATCTTGGCAACAACAAGTTCATGGTGCAAGTCACTACTGCTGCCATCAGGCTGCTTGCAAGTGAGTACACAGAAATTATCATAGCCACAGATAATATAATACTATAATAGTACAGATAATTGATAGAAAATTATATCAGCTTCCTAATTAGAGCAATTCTTTGGGCTATTTTTATTGCTTAGTCTGTACTAGATGGCGACAGGTATATATACTAATGCAATAGCTATGTAAGTTGAGTTGCTTTTGATATCATCTGTCAAATAACAAAATGATTATTCTTGATTATTCAAATTTATCTAAATAAATAAAGTTTATATTGGTTGTTTAAATCAAAAATTTAAAACATAACATTTTAACAAATATATGCTCACTAAAATTTTTGTTACTTTTATGTAATTAATTAATTGATACAATTTTTTTATATTGAATATGAAATTTTCGTAATTTTTGAATAGGTAATAATTTTAATAGATTAATATATTTTTTCATTTCCCTTAATCTTGAACGCAATTGCGATTGATTGACATTGCAATTGTGTCGATTCGTACTTTTGATTTACACTACACGACACTAGCGCCATTTGGCTCAATATTGCGTGATTATCGAGATCGTCATTGGATTGAATTGACATTGAGTTTAAGAGAGGTTTCTTTTGTTTTCCAAGTCCCACAAATTACTAATGCGCTGGAACCTTGTCTAAATAACACCGGCGTAACGTCATTTGAAAATAATGAAATAACATTTACTTTGAATAATGCGATAACAAAAGGAAAAGACTTAGAGATTTCTTAAGACATCGCCAAAAGTAAAAAAATATAATAATCAAAAAAATGTGATTATCGGTAATAGTATATTAAACACTACTAGATTTTTTTTTAAATTCATTTTCGTTTACTGTCTACACCCGTATTTGCGGCGATTATACGAGGGTTCATGTTGTTGCTTTTGATGATTGAACGTTGATTTTGATATCAGACGGAGTACAGCTGCAATCGATCCAGCTGGAATGGACGGCAGGTTACGGAGCCGCTGCTGATCCCTATCTCTGCGTAGTATCCACGTGTGGACGAGCCCTTGTACTGGCACTCAGAGAGTTTAGAGCCAAAGACGGATCGGTCAGTATAAAATTCAATGGTAATTTCTTTACAAGCAATAGGTACAGGAAAAAAAGTATATTTCATCATTAACACACTTTTTTTAAGTTGATTTTTGTTTGTATTGGGTGAACTCTCTCAGTAACATAACACTATGTTTGTAGTTGTAGATAATTAACAATTATAATGATTTATTTTTGTTTGGATAGTTAACTGCCCGTCTGGCACCAACACGTCAAGCTGTACCTCAACGTCCGGCTTTGGCTCGAGCAGTTCCATACCGTGATCTCAGCGGGCTACTTGCCCCACCAGACCCCACACCCACACAGGTATAAAGGTTCCCCACACAGATACAAACGTTGCTATATCCACTAGATCCCACACCCACACAGGTACAAACGTTTGCTATATCCACCTGATCCCACACCCGCGCAGGTACAAACATTGTTATACTCACCAGACCCTGATCCCACACCCGCGCAGGTACAAACATTGTTATACTCACCAGACCCCACGCCCACACAGGTATAAAGGTTCCCCACACAGGTATAAATGTTGCTATACCCAGCAAACATTCGTGGACATCAGGCAATAGGGTAATTTCGGTACTGATAAAATAAGTCATGGAACAGCTTAATAATAGACTCTTAAAATCGCACGATTATTTTAAAATTAAAAGTCGAGATTTTTGTCTGTGTGTCACGTGACGTGCCGCCATTTTGTGACGTCACTGTGGCAACAGCTGTCAGATTAGTCACAAATACATTATTTATAAATTAAAGCTGTTCTTAATTTATTTATATCTTTATTTTGTAATCGATCGTTAGATGGCACTTTTCGCGGTTATAAAAAAAGTTAAAATTTTGATTTAAGTCAAGAAAACTACTTTACCGAAACATTTCTTAACACATTCAACACATTTTACAACACATTTTTCCGAAACATTTGTTTTATGGCTTTTTTTAATTTAAATAAATACTTACAAGTATTATTTCAAACAGAGTTCCCCTTTTAGTTCATTCAAATAAAATATAAGCCAAAGTGTGTGATGTTTCCAAATCTTTGCAATTAAGCAACTTACCATTGGGTCCAAAATTATATGCAGGTGAAAGGTGAATTTCAAGGCAAAACTAAGAATGTGAAAGCGGAAGGATTTAAACCTGGTGCGACATACGAACTTAACGATGATGACGAACTATTGTATGGAGGCGACCAAACCCCCGCTTCTATGGCCAGCGTGAGTATATCATATTTATTATATTTTGTAGGTACCTACTACGTTTTAAATTGATTTTATAATTCATTGTGTCTTGTCATACCTCACAACTACCGAGTGAACTCAAAATTGTTACCTAATTTTAAGGCTAACTGTGTGGATCTTTAATTGGTTATCTGATTTATGTATCGATACTGTAAGTTCATTTATGCAAGCGTTGATCTACCATGAAAAAAAAAAATTATACCAGTTTCGATATAATATTGTCAATACAACGGCAAACAAAAGAGGTCAATATTTTTGTAGTAATCTATTGTTATAACAAGTATGATATTGGAACTTTGATTCTAAATAAAAGGGCATCTTAACTCCTGCTAGGAGAGTATGGTTGGAGGTAAACAAATTTAGAAAAAAAAATGTATTATGAACGTGGACACATGAAATGACAGATTGAAAGAGACAAATTATCTAAGCATCAACATATTACTTAGTAAGTTTTACAAATTATGTATTTGAACAATAAAATGAACTAAATGAAAGCTGCCCAGCTAGCTAGCGCCTCTTGAAACTCTTGCAAGAAGTGTATTGGCATAAAATGTTAAGGTATAATTTAACATGGCATACTGTTGTTTGTCTTAAATTATATTGCATAATTTCGCTAAGTTTATGTCTCTCGTCGTCTATTACCGCAACATGCCTTTTGTCTAGGTCACAGTTCTTTCATGTCTCTTTCATGTAACATAATATGAATTTAAATTATGCAAAAAAAAAAAATGCCTAAACAATAACTATGCCAACATATCACTACACAGTATAAAACAAAGTCGCTTTATCTGTTCCTATGTCCTTATGTATGCTTAAATCTTTAAAACTACGCAACGGATTTTGATGCAGTTTTTTTTCATAGATAGGGTGATTCAAAAAGAAGGTTTTTATGTATAATACAAGACCACATGGGCGAAGCCGCTGGCGGAAGCTAGTACTGTATATAAAAGAACAATTGTGGCAAAATATTATTACGCTAAAACGGATATTCCTACTGTTACCTATAAAACAATAATGTTTCTAGATAATGTTAGCGGAACAATCCAAGAATCCAGGGGTTCCTCGCCGTATGTCACGGTGGTGGCGGCGGTATCTAATGGAGGTCAAACCAACTTACTGGCTGTTTGTAGTCAGAACAAATGGGAACTTAGAATTGTATTCTTTGCCGGAAATGAGGCTGAGTTTTTTGGTCAGAGATGCCTGCGCTGGACATAGGGTGAGTGGAAATTACCGTATCATCATCACCTATTCATGCTGTCACGGTAGGGGCATGATCATCATGACTACAATATTTATTTTGCCCCACTGTTGGGACACAGGTCTTCTCAGTAGAATGGAATCAAATTAGTAAAACCTGCCAACTACGGCAAGAAAAGCAAGCGTCCGCAAGAGTGGCATCGCATTGAAAAGTAGGCTGCTAATATCAATGAGACAATTTGTAGTTGGCTTCTACGTTTTTGGCATTACACCAGTAGTTGGCTTCTAGTTGTTTAACATTACACTAGTTTGAACTGAATATATATTTTTTTTGTAATAATTATAAATGACCGAACGCGCTAACCATTGACTTATTTGTTAATTGTTGTAATACTAATAATCGGTGAATTGACATTGTTTCTTTATTTAATATGTAAAGTTTTGAGGAATAAGAATATAACATCAAAAGTTTTGACGAATTAGAATTTTATTAATTGTATGTAATGTATGCATACATGTAATTCAGGTGTTAGCGGATAGTTTAGAATCGGTCGCCAATATAACGGCTGCTGCTGAAGAAGAGGACATGAGTCCTGCTGCTATTAACCCTGACGCGGACAGATTGAAAGAACTGGTGGTGGTGGGGCTGGGCAACAAAGGCTCCAGAGTGCTCATGCTGATGAGGTTCGAAGATCAAATCATATTTTACCAGGTTAGTGCAATCAGATGCAAAACATCTTAGTGACCTAGTCGCGCTATCAATTTTATGTGCCGTTTATTTATTAAGTGTTTATTAGAATGGATGTTTTTTGAGTATGAATTGTGAGACCTCGTGACTTAATATGAATAAGTACACACTCTGGTCCGTTGAGGTTTAATGGCGACTTTAAGCTCTAATGAATGTTCTAAATTTGATAATTTGTATCGGTAATGTCTCTAAATTAAATACGTTTTTAACTGACGTTTGTGTAACTGGGTATTAAAGATTTAGACATCGAAATTACCTATTTGACTAAAATCACTGTTTATGATTTAACTGTTACAGTTGTAAATCAAGTCTCTAAAAGGAGAAAGAGTTTACCGATCACTGCAATAAATTTATAAAATAAAAGAGTATTTTTAAGCTATGTGAAACTACACCATGTTGCTGTTATCATAAGACTTTAACGCATTTTGGCAGGCGTACAAGTATCCACGGGGTAACCTTAAGATGCGTTTCTCCCGTCTCCCTTTAACATTCCCATTCGGGTATTTGGGCGGCATGGTGGGGGGAGAGGATGATAGCTATGAAGCGACTAGCCTGAGGGAGAATGTTAGGCAAATGCGATACTTTGGTGAGTTATTATTATTTTTTTATTATTAAAATATGTATTACTTAGTTGTTGTTTTTTTTTGCATAGGTTTTCTCATACCGTAGTTTTTTGAGTGAATTATTGATTTTAAATTAAGTATATTCAGTAATGAGACAGAGAGGAAAAATAACATACTATTTTATTTGAAAATAATAGTTTTATGATGCCAGTGAGGCATCTATGCCATATCCATTGCGCGATAGGCAGAGACAAGAGAGCGTCACAAAGCATGTTTTTTCCGATGATTTTGCTTCTTTTTAATATTTTTTATACATGTTGGATGGTTTTCGTGGCTCTGATATCGCCTTAAAACACGCAATCAATCTCATTGTTACTGACACCTCATTGCAGCCTTTTTGTTTTTTTTTTTCATCCGGCGTTTTTCTACATGTTCGAACAAACAGACCGTGCATGTTGTACCATGTGAGCAAAAAATTTTTTTTGTTTCTTTTTTTGCACACCCTACATCCTGAAGTTGAAGCGGATTGCTAATCAAGACGGTCGTTTGGCAGTACTATTCTTATTTTTCTCGTATAGTAATCTGGATCCTAATAATTTAAAAATTTATTGCAATCTCTTTCAATTAGACACTTGAAAGATATTCACGAACTCATGTTACAATTATTTGTCATGTGATAGCGATTGAAATATCAAAATTTTTTGAAAAATATTGAGTGAGCGATATTGTCAACTTAACGTTAATTGTTTGTCTGACACCCGGTTTCTGAATAAATAATTTAAAGTTAAGCACGTCTCAAACCGCACTCAAACCATCTTAAACGTCACTTAAACAGATTTTCATTTCTGATTTTGATTTTTTTAACGATCAGTTGATAGTAGTTTGATAAAACTAGGACTTATTGCCATGTTAAACATAAAAAAATAAGTTATTGAGAATAATTAGTTGAGATTTTGTACTTTTCTCAATTACGAAACTGGCCGTAAAGCAAGCGTGTGACGTAAACTTCTTTAAAAGCTGTTAAGAAATGTCGAACGAAAGAGTCGTTGGTTTAGGTAAATTTTATTATATATCTTGATCACTCGGATCATCATTCGTTCCAAAAGCGATTGCAATTTTAAAAGATAAATAATTACATCACTATACCTTTGCAAGGGATTGAGTTAGATTTTCAAATTAGACCTTTAATAATGTGGGTGTGCAGGTAACGTGGGCGGGTATAATGGCGTGTATATATGCGGGCGGACGCCACATGTGTTACTGTTGACGGCGCGCGGGGAGCCGCGGCTACATCCACTGGCGGCACCGCACGCCCCCGCTGCGGCCTTTGCCCCCTTCAACAATACTAACTGTCCCCAGGGCTTCCTCTACTTCACAGATAAGGTAACTCATAACTTTCTATACTATGTATAATACAATCTTACTTCTTTAGCGTTTGGTTTGGGTTTGATAGTCAATATTTTATCGGCAATAGATATTGGATTTTAATGTTTTAATTCGATGATTTTTAAAGACAAATTAAAGTACATACCGTATTGATTGAAAGTTTTAATGCTATATTTATAAAAGTCGAATAAATTGTATTGAGTAAATTTTGTTAAGCCGTTCTGGTAGAGATATGCTAACATAAATGGTTCTTAAATTTTAATTAAATAAAGTTAAATAATTACCGTAGATCTACGCGGATCAGGTATTCATACGAGGCCTACAGGATCAATCCCGAAGTTGTTTTAGATTTCCACATCTTATAAAATTCAGCTAGACTTAGACTTAGAATGTGACCAATGCAATTTCGTCTATTTTCGAAATGCTAATTCCTACCTACTCGAAAGAAATGCATATTTAGATAATTTATGATGCAATCGAGCTAGATAATCTGATACACAGTGGTACATATCTTCACGGATTAGTTTTAACAAAATTATAAGAAGGATTCGAATTTTCCCATTTTCGTTGGAGGATAAACGGAGAATATATGTTAATGCGTTCGAGTTATATAATTATTAGAGATGCGCCGAATATTCGTTGGGTATTTGGTATATTTGGCACCTTTTTCACTATTTGTATTCGGCCGAATGATTCGGTTTTGGTGCCGGATATATTCAATTCGTTTATATCTATTTTCTGAGTTACGTGGCACAGTATAGTAACTAAAAGACATACGTAAGATTTATATTGTAAATCAAAAAGATCTCTGAAAAATGCGTTCAATAAAGCAATTAAACTTCAAATCAACATTTGTTTTTAAACCTGTTTACGCGACAAAACAGTGAAATATCCGGTTCAGCGCTGCGATTCTGTAAAAATCCAGACCCGATTTCGAATTCAAACATGTATCTGAATTCACTTCAAAAAGCGTCATCCGATCAACCTTGAATTGATTCGTGGCATAAGTAAGGCGAGTTTAGAAAAGGCATAGGAATAGAATATCTGAGGCACGTATATCCAATATTTTTTTTCTTGTATTATTATATTAAAAAAACGGAATCAATACAATTTCTTCACTCAATAACGTGAATTCGCACACATGAGTGATATTCGAAGTCGGGTCTGGATTTTAACAGAATCGCAGGGCAGTAAAGCTTAAACCGAACAGTGTTCGGTAGTCGATTATTCGGTACAACCACTATTAGGCGCATCTCTAATAATTATGTATTATGTTATTAGTCGGAGTTGCGTATTTGCGCGCTCCCTACACACTTGTCGTACGATGCTCCGTGGCCGGTGCGCAAAGTCCCCATCCGTATGACACCGCACGCAGTCACATTCCATCTGGAGTCGAAGACTTATTGTCTCGTCGCTTCAGTGGCAACACCAACTACGTCATACTACAAATTTAATGGCGAAGATAAGGAGAAGTCCGCGGAAAACAAGGGAGATAGGTATATATACATATTAATGACTACTATAGGTTATGATTTTTTTAATTCGGAAAGTATTAGTGTAATATTATAGGCGGAGAGCTCGTAACAATAACGTGCAAAACCTTTCCAAAGATCGATACCACGATTTTTAATCTGAGCAATTTAATCTTAATTTTTGTATCAATAATAAGTTCTTCGCTAATTTTGAACTATTAATATTTAAGTCGACTTCTATACAAAAAACGTAATTTTATTTTCCCCCACAGATTCCCATATCCAACGCTGGAGAAATTTTCGGTGATGCTCTTTTCTCCTGTCTCCTGGGAAATTATTCCTAATACAAGGATAGATTTGGACGAATGGGAGCATGTCACCTGCTTAAAGAATGTCTCACTCTCATACGAAGGCACAAGGTATTTAGTAAAATTAAGTAATAATATTCAATATTACCTGTTTCATAAAATAGAACTAGAATTATCATATAAATAATGGTCAGTAATTTAAGTTTCTTAATTTAAAGTCGGCGCCAGACATCTGCTCAAATATGCAAATACCTACAATGTCACGAAGTCTGTCACGGGCGTTTTTTCGTAAAGTAAAAGTAAACTCACGAGTTTGTGCGGTCTAATTGCAATGTTTAACAAATCTTGAGCAGTTGTGTTCATAATGGAGGAGAGTAATAATGTTGTTATTAAATTTCTTGCGCTTCTTCAAACAGAATTCGCGCATTTTGATAAATATATTTTTTGCTCTTTCGTCTTCTTTCAGATCTGGTCTCCGAGGTTATATAGCGATAGGAACAAATTACAATTATAGTGAAGACATCACCTCTAGAGGGAGGGTGAGTTGAAATAATATAATGGTTTTTATCTTTAATATTTCTTGCTATAGCGGTTGATTAATGTTTTGATTGTAATAAAGTTCAATTGTTATTTTTTTTAATATTGTCAAAAATCAAGATTATTACCGAAATATATAATTTTAGACCGTCAATCAAATATTTTTTATTACTGGGATATGAACATTTAAAATATTGTTTAGGCAGGCTTAACGGGGGTCAGACGGGTGGATATCGGTGATTAGCTCAATGGCGTATCATTTAAATCCAGTGTCAACCAGAACTATTTGCGGATATTTGCCACGCTTAGAAGTTTAGCCTTCTGCGCACATAAATTGTATCTTAATGTTATAACTGTAATCATGTTTCAGATTATTATATACGATATCATAGATGTAGTACCGGAGCCAGGACAACCTCTAACCAAGAATAGATTCAAGGAGTTATATGCTAAGGAACAGAAGGGACCCGTCACTGCACTCACTCAAGTGTTGGGTTACTTAATATCAGCTGTGGGACAGAAGGTGAGTTCGAATAATTGGGCGGCTTGTACAATATAAATAAAGACTTCCATGTTGACCTAAAAAAAAAAGAAGTAGTCTGTGTACTATTTTGCATTAGCAGCAAACTTCTACCGAAATAATGGGTTTTAGAAGAGGTTGGCAGATATCACTATTTATGACTTAATTACTTTCGGAATACGGATGTAGACAGTAAACAAAAATAAATACATATTATAATTTATTTGGTAGTGTTTAATATATAATTACCTATATTTACACTTTTTATTATATTATTAATATTGCTTAAATTAACTATAAAAAAAAAAATACCCGTTGTCACGTGAACGAAAACAGCGCGTGACGTCTAGCCCGTCTTACTCATATCAGAACCTAGAAAATTAAACCTTATGCATACATAGAACGATATTAGTTTAAGGGGGGCGTGACGTCATAGCAACGCCATAACAGAAGTTGGCGTTTTCAAGGGAAGTTTTTGATAATTAAATTTATTTTTAGATTTTAACTTTACATGAATTATAATTTTTTAGTAGTAGTACTTGAGTAGCTCGGTGGCGTAGTGGATAAGCGCCATGGCCCGCGATCGTAGTCGTAAAGCAACTTTCGCAAGGGTCGGTCACGGGATGGGTGACCAAAAAATAATTATCTCGAGCTACTCCGTGCTTCGGTAGGCACGTTAAGCCGTAGGTCCCGGCTGCATTTGCAGTCGTCAATACCCTCCAATCCGCATTGGGCCAGCGTGGAGGGTCATGGCCCATCCTCCTTAACCATCCATAAGGAAGACCTGAGCCCCTGCAGTGGGGACGTAAAAGGGCTGGTGGTGGTGTATACTTTTTTAAATATATATCATGTATAAAATAAAAATATTAAAAAGTTGTCTACTCCCCTATTCTTGGCTTTTATTATGGACTTTGATGATTGATAATGCTCAGTTTTAATCGGATGGCAAAGTATATGTATGTATCATTTTTTTTCCATCAGATATACATCTGGCAATTGAAGGACAACGATTTAGTGGGCGTGGCTTTCATAGATACTCAGATCTATGTACACCGGATGCTGGCAGTCAAGAATCTTATACTGGTGGCGGATGTGTACAAATCAGTGTCGCTACTGAGATACCAAGCTCAGCACAGGACTCTGTCTCTAGTGTCCAGAGATTTAAGATCAGCTCAGGTGAGATTTTTATTATAACACTAGGTGAACCCGTCTATTTTTGCATAGGAAAAATTAAAATAGAAGCACTCTTCTTCTTTACCGATAAACTCTATTGAGAAAACCGTGAAACTATTATAAACTTCCACACCGAGTCAGTCTCCGCAAGACCTGCTGTGTACCGCCCGCACACAAATTCATATGTACAAACGGCAACAAATCGATCATCTTTAAGAGTTGTTAGACCTTACAGGGCTAACCGCGGTGCCGTGGGTGTGGAAATTGCTGGATATCATAGTATCACGGTTATAGCAATGGATTTCCACAAAATAACGACTGATTCTTTTGAAAACTCATATATTTTACGATTTTCTATAAAGACCTTGTTATTAAAGTTTTTATAATTGTTTCAATTTCACATAACTATGGAATGATCAACAGATTTATAATTTTTTTCTATAAATAAAGTGCTATAGTGATCATGGGGATGCATTGTTAGTGTATTTATTATCAATGCGCTTAATGTAATCAAAAAGATGTCAAGTACAGAAGTTCTATTTTATCTAGGCTACCAAAGTTGCATATTTATCTAAGTACGCAGTGAACTAACACTATTTTACTGTTAGGCTCGAACTACACTTTTCGATTTGAATGAGTCGATTAGAAAGTATTTTAATTCCAATATATTTCACACTCTGCATCCGGCGCACCAAAGGCGGCTTTGGTTGTCTAGATATAATTAAACTCCATTACTTCACCTCTTGATTGATTACCTTGGGCGCTCCTAGTTATATTTTATCCTAGTTTATAGTTGTGCTGATTGTACAAACACCTTGGGCGCTCCTATGATAGTGGTGTTGAATGTAATTTTACAAATCGACTTTATCGGGCCTCGCTGATTTTTTGCCATGTTCTTTATGGTTATAGATATACGACATGGAATTTATGGTAGAGAACACGAGTCTCGGTTTCTTAGTCAGTGAGGCGGACGGTAACTTCGCAATGTTCATGTACCAACCGCATGCACGTGAGAGTTATGGAGGTAACTTGTATTATATTTATGATATCACTATTAATTCACTTACTTTGAATAGTTTTAAAAGATTTCCAGTACTCCCAGTAGTTGTAATTCTCCCAGTAGGTTGTAATACGATTAAATAAATAAAAAAAATTGCTTGTCACAAGCCTGTTTAAAAATTAAGAGGTCTAGCTACATTAACATCTTATTTGCTTGAATTTATATTCGCATCAAAATTTCATCTTAAGATCTCGGATCAGAGCACCTTCCATCGGTCCGGATTAGACTTGATGTTGGTTTGTTATTTATAGCTAATTAAATTGATTGAAATTGCATTATTTTGAACATCATATATTCATATATATTATTTCAGGTCAACGATTGATAAAGAAGGGTGACTACCACTTGGGTCAGCAGGTGCACGCAATGTTCCGCATTGCCGCGCCAACGTCCACTCATACTAATCCACGACACGTTACTATATATAGTGAGTAGTAATCATATTTATAAGTGAAGAGTGCAAATTGTGTGAAAAGTTGGCTGACAGGGTAGAGAGAGTTGAGTATAGTAAGTGAGAATTATAAGAAAGTGTCATATGTAGTATGTGTGAAGTGATATTTAGGAATTCGGAGAGCGTTGTGCAATGAAAGTGTATATGTAAAGAGTTAAAAGTGATTACAGAGTATGTGAAGAGTGGAATGCTGATAGTATTCTCTGGCTTGCAGTCAACTCTCAATAGAGATGACTATTTTTATTGTTTTTCCGTCAGGTATATTATTTAATATTAAATATGTATTTTTTTGCGTAATCAATATATTACGGCGATACATTGAGGTGAAATGTCGCCTGACGTCTCGCTTTTGTACATTTTCTACAAATCTGTGACGTAGCGAGCCCCCACTACTCAACTTTAATGCCTATTATCTAAGCCACTTCTCGTTAAAATTGAAGCAAAAAATACGTATCTAATATTTTTCTATTATCTGACTGACGGAATAGATTTTTTGTTTTTTTACCCAGTCAACCCTATTATTTGTATTGAAGTATTACTATTTATTGTTTTCTAATAGCAACATTGGACGGCAGCATCGGTTACGTATTGCCGGTTAGTGAGAAGATGTATCGGCGTCTGTTGATGTTGCAGAATGTTATGAATAACTACTGCTGTCATATTGCCGGTCTCAATCCGCGTGCATTCAGGTGACAGACAGACATATTATATATATTAACTAATATCTTTTGTATGTTCTCACGTGAACCTTTTTTTTTATAAATTCATCTATTCTCCGTGATTTTCGCAGTCGCTAATACAATTTTTATGTTTTATAATATTTGCATATATTAAGCATTTTTTTTTGTTTTATTGGTAACATCAATTAATTAGAGATTTGACCTGCCAATTTCAGTTTTTTTATAACGATACCAATTTTTGCAAATTTTTTAGTTATTCACGCTTTCCATTAAACATGTATTATCTTTCTGGCAGAACATATAAGTCAGCACGCAGACAAGTGGGCGGTGGACCAGCTCGGGGTATACTCGATGGTGATTTGGTGTCGTTATACTCTACTATGCCTAATGCGGAGAAACAAGACGTATGTATATTGATTTTCGACTTAATAGCCCTAATAGAGTCCATTTTATTATTGATATTGACTGTTCTTTTGAATATAATAATTAGCAATCGCTAATCGGAATAGTAACAGTTATTATTTCTACTAACGATACGTTATCATAATATGGATATGGCTATGGTATTTAAGATACAAACATTATTCGCACAAGGCAATAAAAAGTTTATGTTTAAACTACTACATTCGTATCCGAAAGCATTTGAGGTTATCTACTCCAACAATATTATTGGGTGGTCTCAACTGGCGTTTTGATGTCTCCGTTGTTGGGGTTTTTCCTATGCATACAATCACGCAAGGAGGGTTGTAACTCAAAATGCGGGTCCATTATGGATTGGTGGGTGCTACCGACTGTGGATTTAATAAAGATTTTCGGTCACCCGTCCAAGTAATTAACTTCACAGATTTAACCCTTTTATCGTCGCCTCATCTGGCTACTCTGATTCTGATATTTTTTACTCCGATTACTGATAAATTATATTTTTTAATGCAGATTGCGAAGAAGATTGGTACCAAAGTGGAGGAAATAACGGCTGACTTGTACGAGATCGACAGACTGACTGCTCAATTTTAGTAATGTATTTCCTACAGTTTTGTAAATATATGATTAGAAATAAATGTTAAATTGTAAAGGCTGTTTTATTTATTACTTGTCCGTCTTATCATAAAATGAATACTAAATTTACAATTCGTACGAATTAACATGACTTCTGAGGCCCTATATCATGTGAGTATAATTATGTCCTCAAATGAAAATTCGGAAAATTTCAAATGGTTCTTATGATTTTCTTAAAATCATATCTATGAAGATTATTGGTGCATCGTCATTGGTGCAACATTATTGGGCAGTGTCAGGTCCTACCTCTGTTCTATTATAAATGATCGAAAATTGCGTTTCTTTGGTGTCGTATTAGCATTTCGAAAATTGATGAATTTTCGTTTTCGGATAAATATAATGTGTGTCATGTTAATTCGTACTTGGTTCAATGTAAATTGACCATGTCTGAAGAAAAAAGGGTAAATTAAAACCTGTTAACTTATTTCGGTAGGATATAATGGTATTACTGAAACTAAAGTTAGTCCTTTTTACAATGAAATAATATGTTGACGCAGGGGAAATGATTTTTATGGCTCACGGTTTTCCAGACACTTGGACTTGTCCATAGGGATAGATCAAAGTGTGAGGTCATACATTTTATAATTATATGCAATCGGGTCTTGTTCGTGCATATAATTATAATGTATACAAATCGTGTGAGTTTAAAAATATTGTCATACATTTTGTTTACCTGCTTTGAATTTATAATTTTCCTAGCACTTGATAATGTTTGCATGGTTGAGATATTAACGTTATCCCATATGTTGAAAAATATTCAATTTTCGATTATACGAGGGCGGGATAAATAGCTAGCCTAGCATAGAAAAACTTGAATTAGCGTGTTAAAAGTATATTTATTCTTCGACATAGTCTCCTTGAAGCGCTATGCACTTCATCCATCTATGCTCTGAAGTCTTGATGCCATCCCTGCAGTGGTTTTCTTGAAGCCCTTCAAAATAAATGTCCACGGCAGACATCACCTCGTTATTATTTTCAAATCTTTGTCCACCTAAAAAAATTTGAGCTTAGTGAATAGATGAAAGTCAGATGGTGCCAGTTCAGGAGAATATGCTGGGTGTGGTAGCAAATCCTAATTTAATCTTTGAATTTCGCCATCGCAGTGATGCACGTGTGAACGTGCGCATTATCCTGATGAAAGATTATTTTTTTTAGCCAGGCTGGGTCTTTTTTCACGAATACACACTTGTAATTTATCCAGTAGATCAGCATAATAGTCGCCATTTATGTTTCGTCCTTTTGGAAGGTAATCAATCATCAATATACCCTTCGAATCCCAAAATACTGACGCCATGACTTTCCCCGCTGATTTCACGGCTTTTACTTTCTTTGGAGTCGGGGAAATTTGCATTGTTTAAAAATATTTGCCTGGTCCAAAAAGTTATTAGATTTCCGTTATGGGTTTATTGATCTAACAGTTTTTTCTCAATTTAAAAACAAACATACTAAGTAAGCTTATAGTTCATACAATAGGACAACTGGTGCACGTGTAATAAAGAGTATTATCTGCTCAATGGGTCGTAACGGATGCGAGATGTTTATAACAATAGTAAATGTATGACGTCGTATGAGATATAATTTTATGAATGTCTATGACCTATGAGCTTGCTAAAGCTTAGTGAAAAGCGGACTGATAACCGCCACTGAAATAGTAGACGTTAATTAATAAATAGTAACCGAGTGCGAGATAATCGCTATTTAAGCAAGCAAAGATTATTGAAAAACACTGATTTCATATTGTTTGTAATCACATCACCATTCTATTAATATACCCACTGCTGGGGCTCACGCCTTCACTATAGATGGAATTCGCTCAAATCGAATAGGGAGAATGGGCCATGACCCACCACGTGATTCCAGTGCGGATTGGTGCGTGTTAACAACTGCAGATGCAGCCGGGACCAACAGCTTAACGTGTCTTCGTCGAAATATAAAATAAATATTAGTTCCGGAAATCAAATTAGACGTCGCTACGGTTCTTTCTTGATTTTTTCCATGATAACCCTTCTGGTTTTCTTTCATGTATAAAAGTAAATTAATTTTCAAAACTCAATAAACACCTCATATTCTATTGGTACTTTTTCGTATTTGTATTAATATCTAAGGTGCTTTGGCCCATTTGTTTCCTGCAACAATCAACTTTTGCTAGGGTCGCCATCTAGTGAGGTGATTTTTTAGTGCTTTCTTTTTTTCTTAAAATACTTCCTCATTAAAAAGTTATAAAAAAATATTTCTTTTACAAGTTACACAAACCTTAAATACTATAGGAAATGAGTTGTTAAAGTAATGTATGAAGTAACGTTAAATAATAGCTCTTTTGATCGTAATCTCTATAGACAATGTCTAGACAGTCATGACCAAAAACAATGGTTCCATTAAAGAGGCGATCTGGCTACGTCTCATCAATAATAGTTAGGTATTAATATTAATTAAATCGTTTCTCGAAAATAGTTGTCAGGTATAAATAAATATAATTAGACACCATATTTATACAATTGGTACTTTATTGTTAAAAAACAATTCAAATAAAAATTGTTTAATTATGGAGAGAGATTGGGGCACAAATTTTCACATTAACTTATATACCACAATAATAATATAGAAAAAAATAATGACGACTCTTTTACTCTTCTTAGTAAGAACCTCTAAATAATGCACGCACCTAGATATTTTTTTGCTTTTACATTGTGTTTTTTGCCTGACCTCCTCACCGACGACGGCGGGTAAAAGGCGAGTGAGCTAGAATGTTACATAAGGTCGTTACGCATCGAACATAGATACCGATGTTGCGTTTGTTTATTTGTTACTATTTTAATGACGACAGTTATGTAACTAAAGTGTTCTAAAGAGACGTTACTAGAGCGTATAGTATATCTGCTAAAATGATAAATAGGGTTAATATTTTTTTTTACAATAAATACATACAAAAACAACACCACACATTGCTTAGATGATGAGATAAGTAATGAGAGAGATAAGTCATGTATACTTAAGTAGTTAATAGTTTAATAAGCCCTCGTATTAAACTACTAACTACTTAAGTATACATGACTGCATGTCAGGTTACCACAATACGTCAATTGATTTTAAATTTTTCTAACTTAAAATTAAGAGTGAAATTCAAATGTATAAATTTGACACATTTGTATACGTGAGTTGTATACCGACGTGCTGGACTGTACCTCCACAACCTCCAGCTCCAGGTATTCACTCGCTTTTTTTCTAGATTGACCCGACCTGCAATCGGCCTCAAAAATAAAGCTCGTAATAGATGGTGAGGACGCTATAATATTATATTTTACTAGCCGTTTTCTCGTGACTTACCCGTGTAAATTATAGCCTATGTTACCCGCGTATAATGAAGCTTTCTATAGGTGAAAAAATTTAAATCGGTCCCGTAGTTTCATAGAGAATTCGATGCAAACATTCAAACATTTCCTCTTTTTACTTTTAACATAGAAAATGAAATGTCGCTCACTTTAGTTTCTAAGTTGTTTGCTATATATTTCAATGGCCCATCACACACGACTAAGATAATATAATATTTTCATATGATGCCGAACGATACGGAAATATATAAGGTGTAATATTAATATGAGCCAGGACTAGGAGGCGAAAGCGATTCAGTTACGAAGGTTGTCAATAAATAAATCTTTTTAATTACGTTATATTTTTTTGTTAAGATGTGTGGAGTCTCTGCGATCATTCTTTTGTCAGTTAAAAAGCCCAAATTTATGGTTCAAAAGCGGTTGGTAAAAATATATTGGATGATTCAAAAGAGCTTTCAATAAGTAACTTTTTTTTCAACTCGAATAAAGTTTGCGGTAAAGTAAGAAGTTTTAATCGACTTATAAGGTATGAATACAGATCGCTCAAATAGAAAATCGATCGTGTATAACTCAATGGTTATTTTAAGTTAAGCTTAAGTAAACATATTTATTTTCATACAAGAACTTGCGGGCCTTGAGTGCACGCTTTATCCTTTTCACCATTTTCTTTTCCACTTAGATGCTAAGTATTTTTAGAGTTTAGTGATGTTTGAATGCGTGACCCTTGCCCATCCGTCCGTAAAGAGTCTACGTATTCAGTTACCCTCACTGATATTCCCCAGTATTTTTCAAATACCGTTGTTTTTTTTTGTATTCGATTTGAAAGCTTTCAGCAAAGTGGATAGGCGATATTTGTTTGAATGAAACTAGAAGAGAGTGACATTATTGGTGTTAGTGATTGCATAAAATGTAAATCGGTTTCAAAAAATTCATGAGTTTTAATTTTTTTGCATAGAAGAATCTAAGTTATATTTATTTTAAATTTCAATAATGATCCCTTTCATAATTCAAACACGTCGATGTTCTCATAGTCTCTTCAATTATTCGCATTAATCCGATAATTAAAATTAAATTTATTCTTTCTTCTTGGCGAAAAATCTAGTGGAAACAACACGTTTTCCCGGAAAATCCTGTTCTATTTCTTATTGTCACGTAAAAAGTGTACCCAATGTAATGTTTTTTCTAACTAAGTAGCTAATACTTCTTTCGTAATTTTAATTCTTTTTTAAAGGCTGTTACATAAACCTAAAAATGTTTTTTTTTTGTGAACGTCTGAAATAAATTATTGAATAAATATTATTGAAATGAAAATGTCTTTATTCAAGTAGGCTATTACAAGCACTTTTGAATCGTCCAAAAATTTTTTCCCGTATCACTTGTTCAGGACGTCTTTTAGCTGACAAGAAGAACAAGCGAAAGAAACTTACCAGCTTTTTATCATAAGTAATGACATTTACATAAATCATGTCATTACCAAAAAAATACAATATGTATTATCACAATAATAAATACAACTTTCAAAGTCTGTAGGACATAGGTTGAACATATAATTAGTCTTTATAGAACAAAGCGAAGGCTAAATTCCATGCATTGCGATCCTGATGTTGTTAAATAATAAATAAATATTTAACAACATCACATACATTGCTCAGATTCCAAGATGAGTAGCTAAAGCTCCCGTATT